GCCACCTTGATTAGTATTTAATGGCCTAGCAATTTTCAAGATCTGGCTTCTTACTGCCTATGGGAATCTTTTGTTGGGAGGTGATTAGCTGGCCCTGATTGTTTCTTATCTGGAATTCCCCTGTTTTTGAGTGTTATTCTTTATTTACTGTTATGATTTTAGAGTTTTTTTTAACACTGGTAGCTAGATTTTGTTCATTTTCATGGTTTCATCCTTTCTGTTGAAATTGTCCACATGCTTGTGGATTTCAGTGGCTTCTCTTTGGTTTTTAGAGTGTTCCAGCATTTCTGTGTTCTCAAATAATATCCTGTGTCCAGGTTGGTTCGTCAACTGCCTGCTATGGATGCAGGCCAAACGTCAGGAGAGAATGCTTCTGGAACATGGCAATACAGCCTGGAAAACACAGCAACCCAATTAACTCTCCATTCATCACAATCTGATTTTCCTAACCAGTAATTCCTTCTTGTGATCGAGTAGCCCTCCACCAATTAATGAAAGAAATATGTTGATGCATTGTAATGAATCCTCCAGAATGCTCCAAGGTGTAGAAACCGTTGTGTGCATAATTAATTGTAGTGGGGACACCAATTAGATTTTTAAAAATAATAATTACCTTCTGATTCCCTCAGGCCCTGTCTGCTCTGGAGACTTTATTGGGAATGGAAAGGAGAAATGACCTTTTCAATGACATGTGGTATTCAGCTGAGATCCTAATAGCTCAGGAGGAATTGGCTGCCAACTGTTCATCCTTAATCCATAAATTATTTTATAAGATTCGCAGGAATCACTTTGCCCTTCCCTGATATGCAGCAGCTGTTCAGCCGCACAAAGGAACACGGCACAATACTTTAGGGTAGGAAGTGAAAGAGAAGCTTCCAGCCCATTGGAATTGCAATGGGATGTTAGGGAAGCTGTAGAGTACACTTACCCATAGATGAACCGGAGTAGAATTCTATAGAGACTAATAAAAACAACAGCTTTTAATCATCAGACACAATTAGAATCTTTCCTTATAGCTCTTCTTTGGACGCCTTCAAAAGGAGGCTGGACAGCTACGCAGTGGGGGATACTTTAGGTGTAGATCTTGCACTGAGCAGAGGATTCAACTTGAGCCATGGTAGTTAAAGTGGTGTGAAACAGCATTAATTCTCCTTTTACACAAATGGCACCTCTTGTGTTCATATTGCATACATTGGTTGTCATCTTGTGATGTTCATATTTAATCTTTGGATTTATTTATTGGATGATATATATAAATATTCTGTAAGAGGGAATCAGTACTAGCCCAAGACATCTTGCTGTTTGGAGAGAAGGATCCCTATTGCTGTCTCTATTCCATGTATTGGCAGTAGAATCTAACTTCGGCACTGATGTCATCACAATGGCCTCCATAGCAAATGATGGCATGAAGTTGACATGGGGGTCTCAGGGAAGGTTGTATGCTTATTGCTCTCTGTCCCTTTACATCTGCTAACTCACAAATCTGCCTTCTTTTGCCTTACAAAGGATACAGCTCAAGGGAAATAGGTGCCAAACTCATGTCTGTTTTATAGATGAGCATACAGGTGTACAGTTTCATTTCCACAATTTTGGTTTTAACTTTTGCAAATTTGATTAAAAATATTCTCTCCCTGAATCTCTAGGTTCTCCAGTGTGACTCTGTGGTCAGCTTAATGCAGTGATGTTGGAGGATCTGGAGATTTCTAGAGAGAACACCTCTATAAAAATCTCTAGATATTCTAATGTGGTTCTGTGGTCAGTTTCTCAAGTGTTAAGGGCACAGGATCTCAATGAAAGTGAAAAACTGCAAATAAAAAATATTATTTGCACCTTTTCACTTTCATGGAGGTACTGTGCCCTTAGCCCCTGTTAATGTGGAGGGCTGTCTGTATTGCGGCATTGGGAGAAGTGTAAAAATATGGCAACTGGCTATATGTTACTTTCTGACCAAAAGTTTGGGACAAGTCTTACACATAATAATAATAATAATAATAATAATAATAATAATAATAATAATACACTTTATTTATATTTTGCCCTTCTCCCCTATGGGACTCAGAGTAGATTATAGCATTTACATACATAGGCAAACATTCAGTTCCTTTACAATCATATACAATGAGACACACAGAGGCTTCTCCTTTCATTTATGGCTTCTGGAGGCGGTGCATATCTCTGGCTCTGGGGAGGTGCTTTTCTCCATTTTCAAACCAAGGAGTCTGTATTGTCACTTCTTGGTTGTGTGACTGGCAAGATTGATTGGAGTGTCTCTTTGCTGTTTCCCACAAAAGTTTATCTACTCAGATATGCATGTTTTCAAACTGCTAGTTTGGCAGGAGAGGGAGCTGACAGACGAGAGCTCACCTGGTCTTGTGGATTCAAACTGCCAAACCAGGTTAGCAGTTTAGCAGCACAGGGATTTTAATCCACTGCACCACCACCGCCCCCTGCTCTAATTCAGCCATACTATCTGGATCCCACCCCCCCCCCCCTTTTTTCTGCATAGCTGGGAGATTAATGCAAACAACATCCAGTCCGAATGCCCATTGAGCCAAGAATCTCACCAGATAACCTTGTTTCAGTCAACCTGACATTCACAGGGCAATGTGAGGAGGAAGAGAGCCAGGTATGCTGCTCTAAGCTGATTGAAGGAAAGATAGACTATATGTGTAGCTGCTTTGATTTAGGGTCTGTCCAGACAGTACCTTTATCTCAGGAGCTTCTGCAGCAAACAGGAGGGTAGCCAGATGCTGTTCCTTGTAAATGTGGAAGCAATAACTCCAAAAGGCCAAAACTGCGAGATTTCCAGGTGCAGGAATATTGCAGTTTTAAGCCGAATATGCAGATCTTCACATGTCTATATGTCCCTGCAATCAGAAATCATGGGATTTTTTAAAATCTGAGCTTGTTCTCGGGTTTTAGATGTTTGTTTCTGATTGGTCGGTTCCTAAAAAGAAAATGACACTTGAGTAGAAGGAAAAAAAACTTTCTTTGTGTGGCAGAAACTTCATTAAATGTGTGGAGGGCACATTTTCTCTGGCCAGGACAAAGAACAGAACTTTTGCAGTGATTTGCTGTTGTGATTCTCCGCATATCTGTATCTTGAGGTTTTTTTAAAAAACAACCCACTGAAGTTTCTGGTGGAAGTCCTGCTGTGGTTATCTTGGGAGCCTCTAAATCTCACAACAAAGCATCAAGTCTGGACAACAGGCAGAAATACCGGGACCAACAGGTCTGTATGCAGACCTCTTCAGAAGTCCTGGAATTTTTTTGCCCCTGCTTAAAACCTGTGATTTAGTGCTTTCTGGAAGTCCCCTTAGATACTGAGAAAAACGTGGGATATAAATCAATTAATTAATTAAATAAATAAATACCATCTTTGGCAGAAGTTGCCTTGGAGGCACTGGGCTGGGTGCCTTCTTTTAGCCTAGCCCACCTTTCAAGATTACTGTAAATTAGCTCCATATATATTGCTTGGGATTATTTTGAGGAAGAGAATGCATCAAAATTGAGTTGTGAAGCACATGTAGTCCATGAAGAAGGTCCCAGGTTCAGTCCCCAGGTGCTGGGAAAGATTTCTGTTTGGGATCCTGAAGAAATAGTGTTGGCCTGTAGATTACAAGAGACCAGAGCTAGAAAGCTGTTTTCTAAGCAATTAGAAATCTTAAAATGTCTACGATAGTAGGACAGGTACATGTGACAGGAAAGTGAGAGGGATCCAACCCTTTTAAGAAATTGTAGTATTGCTTCAAAAGAACAGTTAAAAGATGGAAGTTGCTACAGAATATACAAAGCAATAGGAAGAGGTGTAACTAAATTGCTGTATTGAGACTGGTGAGTTTCCAGTGCCCACCCCCAAAATTCAATCCATATTCCTACAGAGTGCTCCTGATGATGGTTTCAAGGTAGCTTATGGAAAATGTGATATGATCTCCGTGCTAAAAAGGGTGAAGAAAGGATCACATGAGCAGTGGAATGGGGACTGACAGTTCTGGCTCCTAGTTCTAGATCAGTGGTTCCCAACCTGTGGTCCATGGACCACCAGTGGTCCACAAGAACTAAAATATGTTCCGCGGCCTTACCATTACTACACAGTTGCAACGAGAGCGACTGGTCTTGTGAAATCCTCTTAATGGTGCCGAGGCAATGGGGATGTTAGGCGGGGAGAGACTGACTACCCATGAAAGGTACAACAACAAGCCTTCTGACTGCTGCTTCTCCTCCTCCTCCTTCCTCCCCCTGAGCAAAACTGTTCCATGTGGCACCTGGAAGCAGGGGTGCCTAGGTGTCTTCATTTTTAGTCCTGTTCCTGGGGTTATTTAGGATGCTAATTCAGAAAATTGCATTGGATAACATCAGCTCAAGATTATTAAATATGGTTTTCTGTGGGCGAGCAGATGGTGACTACTAGATGGCATATGTTCTGTATCAGAAACTAGAGCTGATGTGGTCTACCCAGTGCAGTTTTCTGAATCAGCACCTCAAATAACCAAACCAAATCTACAGTTGATCAAAAAATGATTCGTAACCTTTTTCATACTTATGTTGGTGAGTGGCCTCTGGTCAAGAAAAGGTTGGTAAGCACTGTTCTAGATAAAGAATGTACCTGTTGTTATCCTGTAGTTTCACTCTGTCCTAGTTGGCACAGCAGATGGCAATTGTTGATTGGTGTTGATGTCAAACAGCATCTATATATCTAACCCAAAAAAGGGAAACGTGAGAGCTTGAAATACCTTTTGGTTCAATGTTCCTTCTTTTTATAAATACTTATTGTGTTATGTTTTTAATTCTGTGCTCTTTGGGCTTGTCCCTTTGTAAGCTTCCCCAAGTCCCTTCGAGGAGATGGAGGCGGGGTATTTAAAAGTTGTTGTTGTTGTTGTTGTTGTTATTATTATTATTATTATTCATAGTAATAAATCTGCTTGGAATTTGAAGTTTCATGGTAGTCCTGCAAGGTGCTTACAAAGTATTGGTCTAACTTTGCCTTTGTGTTCTTATAGGTGACTCTCTCGGTGGGGCCACACTGACCATGCTCAGGAGCTTTTGTCTTCAGCTCATGTCCTTGCTTTGGATCCTGGTGGCCCATCACCATTTTGCTCAAGGTGAGGATTAGTGAAATGTTTGCTTGTGTGCACAAAGTCTTATCGCAAGAAAAGAAGCAATGACTCATGTACCATGGTGTATTCAGAGGCCTCTCATGAACTCATGGCAAGTGACTAGTTCCATTTTCTTCCCCATTCTTTAAGTGCCAAATAAATCATTAAGCAGTATCTGTATCCAGGGGTGGATTAAGACATGTCAAGACGTTACACTGTGCCAAGTTGAAGAGGCCCTACAATGTTACTCCCCTCCCCATTCTAACAAACATTCAAAATTTTGGATGTATCTGCATTACACTATTATATTAGCCTCTTACACTGTCTTGGGTCTGTCCCAAGGAATCCATGGATATGCAGCTTGATTAAGTAACTGGAATTCTCTCATAAAAAGCTGTAGTCCAGTCTCCTGTACTACATTTCCCAAGGTATTCTAAGTGCTTACCAATGGTACAGGATTAAACTAATGTAACCTTCAGTCCCTTTCTTTTTGAGCTACTTGAGGGCCTTCTAAATATATCACTAAACTAAAAATTCCAGAATTCTTAAAAATGGAGCAATAATAAAAAATGTAGTATGAAAGGGCCCTTTAACACTAAACAATGATAAAACTATGATTCCACTTTCACTGTCATTGCAATGTGGAATCCTGAAGTTTGTAGTGTGGTGAGGCAATAGAGCAGAGTTGCCCAATCATTGGTCTTCTAAATGTTTGGGACTTCAATTCCCAGAATCCTTGGACATTGTTGGAGTTGACATTCCAGACATCTGGAGGGCCAAATGTTGAGCTAGAGCTCTTAATGACTGTGATTTCTAGTACCCCAAACTATAAATCCCAGGATTCCATAGGAAATAACATGAGAGCTAAAGTGGAATTAAAAATCTATCACAAAAGGTTCTTTGTCTCTCCACCCAACTTTCTTCTTTTCCTATTGAAGAAATATAAAATCTTAAAGGCCCTAAAAATCTAAGATTCTAACATGTGGTCTATTTAATTTTTGTTTAAATACTGCAGTATGTGGGTGTCTTGATTAGATTGTTCAACATGCTTGCGAGAAGAAAGCCAAAAATGGTTCGTAATCTTCCTCTCCAGGTCTGAGAAAATTAACAGAGCTGGATGCTTCCCTTTTTGTGTATCAGAATGATTGCCTTCTCTCTATTGCTGCATGACTTGAGTAGGGCAAAGCTGCTTTATGTGCGCGCGTGTGTGCCTATGTGTGCATGCTTGGATGCACGCACAGGCACGCACCAGGCAATCCAGTATAAGACCCCGGGTGGGTTTTAATCATAGTGGTTTGCATGCTGCCAATAGGATTCCTTGATTATGCACAGAGGTTATAGCAATCAAAATAAAGGGATTTGTATGGCACATTTCTTGAGTCATCAGAGAGATACTTACCCAAAAGGCTATATGAAAAAAAAGTGCTATTGCTTGCCTCACAGCTTTGCCAGCTAGTTGCACATAGTTAGTTGCCAGCTAATTGCACATAGCTAGTTGCTCCTGGATTATTCCGAGTGCTGAATTACATGTTAAATGCTGGCTGCATGTTTCACTCAATGTTGTGTTTCATTCCTCCAAAAGTGGAAAAATAGAGTTACTTAACTTCATGTCCACCCCCTTTTGTTTTCTATCCAAAATACCCAGCACCTGCTTCCTTTCCTTTACCCTTTTATTACACACTTTCAGAAAGAGTTAAAAATTGTTTTATTTTTCAGCAGGACTTTGGTAACATTTAAGATAGTAAGTAGCCAGACTGAATGCCAGTTACATTCGCACTTTATATCTGCATTTTGAGGGGTATACAGCTGGGCTGCTACATTGATTATATGGATTATATGGATCTTTTCATCAATGGCAATTGCCACATTTTTCTGGTTCTGATTAATAGTGACTGCTTTTGCTAATGTCTGGTTTTATGTAAATGTGTTATTGATTTTATATGCTGTATATTGTCTTTTATGTGTTGTTTGGCACCATTGTGTGCTAATTTGTAAGCCACCCCATGTACCTATGGAGATGGTGGCGGGGTATAAATAAAGTTTTATTTATTGTTGTTATTATACCAGTGGAAAAGCACCTGGAGGGGGACTCTTTAGTGGGAAAATATTGGGAAAGGTATCCCTTCCGACATGATGTTTTCTGCACAGAGAAGGGGGCTGTGGAGGCTTCTTTGGTTTTAAGGAAGAAACACTGTTAATGTGTAACAATGCACTGCCAAACTTTAATAGGTATATTGGTCCTAGCTCTCCTTCACTGACCCCCACCTGTGTTTTTGGGCATGCAGTGACATCTGCTGGGCATTCTGTGAAAAATCTTAAATTCTCCCCAGTGGAAGCCATGCCTCGGGGCCAAACTAGACAAAATGCTAAGCGTCTCACCACTTTTATTGATCTATAGCACGTGTAAAACTCAAGGTCCACAGGCCGAATCCAACCTGCCATGTCATTTTATGTGGCCCTCCAAATGTTGAACCACAACTTCTGTATTCCTCATCATTAGAACTGATGGGAGTTGTGATACAGTAACATCTGGAAGTCTGCAGTGTGCTCTGCTTAGTTAGAATAGTGGGGTTTGAATTTAGATATGAGGCTTGCAGATATGATGTCTGACTTTAAAATGTCCTTTAACCTTCCTCCAACCTTCGAGCCACAAGTGCTGTTGGGTTGTAATCCCCATTATCCCCAATTCACATGACAGATAATCAAAAGTTATTGAAGTTGCTATTCAATAGCATGGGGGTCTGAACTGGGTAAAAAAATAAGGAAAAGGAACCACTATGTAAAAAAATTATAGTTGACCCTCTGTGTCCATGGATTCAACAGACTTTTGAAGGCGACCTTAAGGCTGACGTGGCCTTGATCAAAATGAGTTTGATACCCTTGATCTATAGCCATAGGCAGTATGATCCCTGCGTCTGACAGTAAGTCCTTGTTAGGAATTTTCTGGGACCTCCAGGCAATTCCGTGGAATGTTTCCTCTGGAAGTCACCATAGAGTCACGTTGGAAGAACTAGCAAAGTTCCAGATGAGCTTTCAAAAATGTTCATCATTTGAGAATTTAACTTTCTTTGGACCACAGCATCTGCCAGACAATGTGAGCATGGCCATGCTAATTGGGGGATTGTTCAAAAAGTAAAATTTCCAGCTTTGCCTTTCCTTTCTCTCTCTCTCTACATCAGATCCCTGGCTAAAACTACACAAGCTTCCTCCAGCTGCTCCTTGCTCTTAAAGGGATGCAACTATTTGGATTTCAGTTTTCCTCCCAATGGCAAATAGCAGTGTTGGGAGAAAGTTTTTGTTAGTAGAACAAGAGGGTTAACCCCCTTTCTTGTTCCACAATCCAGTTATCCACATGTGATGCTCTTTTAAAATAGTAAATTACACAAAAATGATTGCACAATTCATTGTACTCATTGAGCAATTCAAAACAAAACAAGCAGTATATGTATAAATGTACTGTGTAGTAACTGATATATTAAGTGTTTCTCAACCTTCCTAATGCTGCAACCCCTTAATGCAGTTCCTCATGTTGTGGTGACCCCCAACCATAAAATTATTTTTGTTGCTACTTCATAACTGTAATTTTGCTACTGCTATGAATTGTAATGTAAATATCTGATGTGCAGAATGTATTTTCATTCACTGGACCAAATTTGGCACAAATATCCAATATGTTCAAATTTGAATACTGGTGGGTTGGGGAGAGGGGGTTGATTTTGTCATTTGAGAACTGTAGTTGCTGGGATTTATAGTTAACCTACACTCAAAGACCATTCTGAACTCTACCAACGATGAAATTTAACCAAACTTGGTTCAACACAGAACTCCCATGACCAACAGAAAATACTGGAAGGGTTTGGTGGGCATTGATCTTCAATTTTGGAGTTGTAGTTCAGCTACATCCAGAGAGCACTGTGGACTCAAACAATGATGGATCTAGATCAAACTTGGCACGAAAATATGCCCAGAATGTGAACACTGGTAGAGTTTGGGAAAAATAGACTTGACATTTGGGAATTGTAGTTGCTGGTATTTATAGTTGACCTACAATCAAAGAGATTCTGAACCCCACCAATGCTAGAATTGGGTCAAACTTCCCACACAGAACCCCCTTGCCTTGAAGGGACTCATTGGTGCGACCCTCTCTTCAACCTCGCATGCTCTCCCTTGCCTGCACATGCGCACCATGCTGTCATGCACCAAGCATGCCTGCTCTCCCCTCCCCACTTGGAGTCTCAGAAATAGCCCTCCCCTTGGCTGAGAGGCCAGCCAATCACAGCAGAGGAGGGCTTTTGGTGGGAGGATTCGCCATCTGTCTCCAAAAAGAAAGCGAAGGACAGACGGAGAGATCTTCATCCTTCTCTGCCAAAGGGGTTCCTTAGACCATCAGAAATATATATTTTCTGATGGTCTATGGTGACCACTCTGAAACCCCCTCGCGACCCCTCCCAGTGGCCCCGATACTGAGGTTGAGAAACACTGTATTAAGAGGTGTAAATACAGGAGAATTATTGTGCCTTGTTGAACAAGTTTAACTCATTTTATTTGTACAAATTTAAGAGCAATTTGCATTTGTATATCAAATATATCTACATCTCAGTCTTCTACTATGCTAATATTCTTCCTGGGAACTATTTGTTTCCCCTAATAATTGCCTTTGGGAGCTCTTGTTCAGTGAGTGGTCCAGGGGCCCTTTCAGACGGGCCCTATAACTTAGTATCTAATCCCAGGTTTTCTGCTTTAAACTGGATTATATGAATTTGCATTGCTAGATAATCTGGGATAAATAGAAAATTTGGTATCAGATCCTGGGATCTAGGGCCTGTCTGGAAGGGCCCCAGGAATCTATATTAGTAAAACTCTTGCATCCCCATTAAACTTACAAAAATTCTGAAGGGAAACTCATTCTTTAGCAAGTGAAGTGATATGAAATGTACTGTATATAAGTATGCCTATAATGATATGACCTAGATTCCCATCATTTCTCCTTGCACACCACTTTGTGATGAAACAGAGAGGAAGAAGTAAGTGGGCCAAGCAGGAGAATATTCATGTGTTCTGAATATGGAGAAAGGACAAAAGTGATGAGAAAGCAGGCTTGAGAAGAAGAACAGAAGAAAAGAAAGAGACAGAAAATAGCACTAGGTCCGGGCTCAGTTACAATACTGGGGGCATTTACATAGTTAAAGAGAAATCAATCCTTTGGAACAGTTTTTCACTTTAAGGCATGGGACCGAGGACTGGAAATACTGGGTTTTGTGTGTGTGTGTGTGTCAGGAGAGACTTGAGAAACTGCAAGTCACTTCTGGTGTGCGGGAATTGGATGTCTGCAAGGACATTGCCCAGGGGATGCCTGGATGTTTTGATGTTTTACCATCCTTGTGGGAGGCTTCTCTCATGTCCCTGCATGGGGAGCTGGAGTTGACATAAGGAGCTCCTCTGTGCTGTCCTGTTGGTCGTCCTGCCAGCACACAGGTTTAACCCATTGCGCCACCGGGGGCCTGCATAGAACTCTACTTCAGTTTCTAGATTGCTCTGCAGCTATAATTGTTTTGCGATGTTTGCAGTGGGCCCTCTACTTTCACTGGGTTTGGGGCTTATGTGAAAGCAGGGGGAAAACTCACATTTTAAAAACCTGTAATTTTTTAAACCGAGTGAACACAGCTATAAGAATTTCTAGGTTCTCCAACACAATTTCTGGAAGAAGTTGACCATAGAGTTGCATTGGAGAACCTGAAGTTTCCTATGGGAAACACATTTATCAGATCTATGAACAACCAAATCCTCAAAAGTCTGACCCGCAAATGAATGGGCAGGTCTTGGGTAGACTACACAGCAATACAGAAACAATTTTGTAGTCTTTCTTTACAGCCTCAACTGGGTACTAACTTATTATTATACTGTAACTCCTGAAACATAACCTACATAAGTATCAAAAGGAGAAAAGTCGAAATGTCTGGTATATATACATAACACAACAACAAGTAATCCTGTGTACAGTTGTTTCTGTATTGTCTATTTTTATTGATACAATTTTTGTTATATCGCAATATAGATATTTGTGCCTAATTGATAGACTGCACAGCAGGCAGCTTTTGCTTCCGTCTCCAGTTTCCGCCTTTCAACGGAGGTTGAGGGAAGATGGAACAGTCTTGGTGTTTTTCCATGGTATTCTTTTAATTAATGGCCACAGTGGCACAGCGGGCTAAACCGCTAAGCTGCAGAACTTGCTGACTGGAAGGTTGGTGGTTTGAATCTGTGGGATGGGATGAGCTCCCATTGTTAGCCCCAGCTTCTGCCAATCTAGCACTTCGAAAACGTGCAAAATGTGACTAGATCAATAGGTACCACTTCGGCAGGAAGTTAACAGCACTCCAGTCAGTCATGCTGGCCACATGACCTTGGAGGTGTCTATGGACAACGCTGGCTTTTTGGCTTAGAAATTGAGATGATCACCACCCCCCAGAGTCTGACTCAACTAGACTTAATGTCAAGAGGAAACCTTTACCTTTACTATTCTTTCAATTGTTGATGTAGCCATTCTTGCTCAATCCATTTTTTAAAATGAATTTTAAATTTACATTCTATTCGTATTGTATTTGACTCTTTGTTCTATGTATTTTAATGGCATTGTGTATTATTTGAGTTATCTAACCTGCCTTGAGCGGTGAGGGGAGGCAGTAACAAATAAAATTTAAGATGATGTCAATGGTTAATGTGATTATTATTATTATAATATCACCATGAGAGACAGCCACTCTTTGTATTAAAGTTTCTGTGTTTCTGTGTTGGCAAGTGGATATTCCTTTTGGATCACTTGCTCAATGCCATAATTCCATTTTACACAATCTTACTTTAATTTGGTGAACAATAACTTAAAATTCTGGGGAAGAGAATTCTAGTGCTGACTTTCAAGGGGAATCCAGAATTCTAAGTACTTTCATGAGCTATGCCATGGCAATTAAAATGGTACCAAATGACTCAATTATTCCTGAGAATGCGGATGACTTTGGCTGGAACTAGACTGTAAAAATAATGCAGTTTGACAGCACTTTAACTGCCACGGTTCAACACTATGAAATCATGGAAATGATACTATTACAAGCCTTCTTGCCAAGGAATTCTGGTGCCTCTCTGACTCCATAGCATTAAGCCAAGGCAGTTAATGTGGTGTCAAACTCCATTAAGTCTACTGTGTAGATGCTCCGTTTCTTCCTAAACGTTTACACTCTTGTGGTTTTCCGGTTGTCAATTTAGTCTACTTTAAACACTAGCTTGTAGTAATTTTTAAAGTTTCCACTGAAAAGGCCAAAAAAGGGTTTCAGGTGTGAACAGATTAGAGCATTATTGCCCAACTTAGTATTTGCTAATGTGGCTTGTGATGGTGTGTGATCCTGTCTCTCCTCTGTCATTATGATTAACAACTTCCTCCCCATACATACACAGTTTTGTCTGCTATGAGGTTTGTTTACAAAGAAACCTACTGTTAGTTTAAGCTAACTTTAATAGAACTTCTCTACATTCATTGCAGATAGGCAGGAGTGGGGGCAAGAATTCTTGACAGCTTCATCATTGCCACATCAGCTTTTTAAATTAAAATATTACAGCGTTGATTAGTTCTCTCTTTTCCCCTCAGACACCTTGAAGCAGGGGTGGAGTCCTTTCCCAAGAAGTATTACTTACAGAGGTGGTGGAAGAAAGAGATGTGTTTGTGAAGGGTGGAGTGAGGTTTCTATAGGTGCCTATGTCTTTTGTATGAGGGACAGTTGCCACAAAATAGAATCCGCCACTCAGCATGGCCTTTTCCAAGCTCTGTGCATCAGGGAACCAATCTCACCAGTTTCATCGTGGCCTGGATGGGTTATTTAAGTTAAAATGCAACTTTCCAACATTTCACAGTCTTGCTTCTCTATCCAATCTCTCTTCCAGCCTGTCATCCTGCAAAACAGTTTCATTTTCACAGAGAGAGTCCTCCGTTCTCCCAACTGGGGAATTGCCTTTCTGTTCCAAAATCCCCTGTCTGAACACAGGTCCTGCACCCCCCAGACCCTTCATCAACATCCTCAGCTGTCTGCATTATATCAAACCCCTCCACATCATCTTCGGCTGGCTGAGTTACAACACTACTTGCATAAAAAGCCAGGTCTTAAGTCTCTTTCTAAAAACCAGGAGGGATGGGGCCTGCCTGATGTGACTAGGGAGGGACTGCCACAGCCAAGGGGCCACTACTGAGAAGGCCCTGTCTCTCATCCCAACCAATCACATTTGCGAGGAGGTTGGGACAGAGAGCAGGACCTCTCCAGCCCATCTTAAAGCTCTTGTAGGCTCATAGAAGATACGTTCAGAAATAAGGATAAAAAGTAGTATATTGCTCATCTGCTCATCTGTAGTGGTCTAGCTGCTTTTTGAAATGTTGGTTTGCATAATTTCATTATTATTTGTTGTATTCTTTTGTCTTATCTGCTTGTATTCCAGATTTTTTTCCAGTAAAGGACTGTTCTGTATATTTGTATGCTAAGATCTTGCATCATCTTTAACTTATTAGCAAATTTGTACTTAAAAACTACCGTTTATTGAGAGTAATGGAAAGAGAAGTGCATTTTCTATGTTGCAAAATAAAATGCATTGATTCTTGATCAAAGACAGTATTTAGATTCTTGATCAAAGAGGCTCTGAGGACTGAATGGCGTCTACAAGCCAATAGTTTCCCATCTCTATATAGAGTCAATGTGGTGCAGTGGTTAGCTCATGACTATGATGGTGGTGGCGATGATGATGATGATATGTTTTTTTGGCCTCTCCTTTTGGCTCAACTATGGAGACCAGGGTACAAATCCCTGTTCTGCCATGGAAACCTGCTGGGTGACCTTGGGCAAGTGATACTCTCTCAGCCTCCAAGGAAGGCAAGGGTGAGCTGGCCTGAACAAAAATTGCAAAAAAACAAAATAAAAAATAAACCCATGATAGGTTAACTTTAGGGATATCACATGCCAGAAAATACACAACAACAAGAAGAAGAATAGTAGACATACATAGTCTTGAAACAGGAGGCTTAGTGTGTGTTTTTGTGGTGAAATCTATCCGAACAAGTAACCTAACCTATGAAAAGTGATGTGCTACTCTTGTTCAGTTCAGTCTGATTTAAGTTATGAAATATTCCTTATGTATTAATTCCTGCTCTCTGTGCTGTTTTGCAGGTGATGACTGTAGTGACCATTGTAATTTGGCTCATGGCAGCTGTGAAAAAGATGGCAAATGCAGGTAAAGCAGTATTGGAATGTTGTTGAATAAGAAAGCTATTGAATCATTATATTATTGCAACATTCTGTGCCAAGCTTGACCAGATTCAGTACCTAATAAGCTCCAGTTCTGCAGTACAAAGTCTACTACTGGCTTATATCTGCTACACTGAGAAATCTGCCTATGAAAAAAATGTGTGTATTATAGTGTATTGATACAACATTCCTAGGCATCTGAGGAAATAAACTTGGGGCTCACTTCACTGGGCAGTTTAACCTGATAGAATCATAGAATTGTAGAGATGGAAGAGACCTCGTGGGCCATCTAGTCTAACCCCTTGCCAAGAAGCAGGAAATCGCATTCAAAGCACCCCTGACAGATGACCATCCAGCCTCTGTTTAAAATCCCCCAAAGAAGGAGCCTCCACCACACTTTGGGGCAGAGAGTTCCACTGCTGAACACCTCTCACAGTTAGGAAGTTCTTCCTAATGTTCAGGTGGAATCTCCTTTCCTGTAGTTTGAAGCTATTGATCTGCATCCTAGTCTCCATGGCAACAGAAAAGAAGCTTGCTCCCTCCTCCTCATGACTTCCCCTCACATATTTATACATGGCCATCATGTCTCCTCTCAGTCTTCTCTTCTGCAGGCTAAACATGCCCAGCTCTTTAAGCCACTTCTCATAGGATTTGTTCTCTAGACCCTTGATCACTTTAGTCGCCCTCCTTTGGACGCATTCCAGCTTGTTAACATCTCCCTTCAATTGTTGTGCCCAGAATTGGACACAGTATTCCAGGTGGTCTGACCAAAGCAGAATTGAGGGGTAGCATGACTTCCTGCATCTAGACACTATCCTCCTATTTATGCAGGCCAAAATCCCATTGGCTTTTTTTTTTTTGCTGCCTCCTGACATTGTTGGTTCATGTTTAACTTGTTGTCCATGAGGACTCCAATATCTTTCACATGTACTGCTATTGAGCCAGGCATCCCCCCATTCTGTATCTTTGCATTTCATTTTTTTTCTGCCTAAGCGGAGTATCTTGCATTTGTCCTTGATGAACTTCATTTTGTTAGTTTTGGCCCATCTCCCTAATCTGTTAAGATCGTTTTGATGTTAATATGCTTCAGAGCAGTTCTAGATCTGGCACTGTTCTCTAAATAGTCCAGGGGTACCTGCATTTCTTCTCCATCATGTCACTGCAGCAGTAGCTCCTAGCCTGAAGCAGAGTTCCAGCTGAACCTGTAGCCATCGCAGTGCCTCGAATCCCATGCAATCAGCAAAAAGGAAAGGGGCGACGTCCCCTCCTTTTTGCTGGTTGCACAGGTCCCTTATTCTGACTTCATAGAGTCGCCCTAGGGCTGAGAGCGGCGGTCAACAAATGCACCAAATAAATAAATAAATAAATAAATGTGACAGGTGATAGCCGGGAGTTCTGATAGAGCTCCATGGAGAGCTAGGATCAACAGTGTTGGTGGTGACATGGGCATGATCCATTCCTTTTTCCTGTGTTGTAATCATTTGTAATCTTACAATTAAAAAAAGAGCTATGTTACATCTTGACACAGAGATAATAACTTGCCAAGCAACTTTCTGTTAACCACTGTTGTATCCAAGTGAGGTTATTTTGCACAATCCTGTTCCATATGCACATTTTGGCCCGGGGAAGAAGATTGGGTTTTTGTTTATAGCATTTTCCAACATATGCTTTGCAGTTCTACGTTACCTCTGGGGTATAGGCTTGTCTGGAAGAATATAGCTTGTTCAGGGTGACTCAGTGAAGGTATTGGCAGAATGGCAGTTGGAATCTACTGTGAATAACTGAGGAACAATAGGATATGTAGGTCATGACTGAGTAACATGGAGGACTCACGGATCCAGGTTACAAGGATTTGCCTTCTTAATGAGCCAGCTCAGGTAAAAAAGACCATCATAGTTTGTAAACACTGCCTGTGCATGTTAGGAATATTTTGCCTATTGCATAATCATCTCTCATGGAGCTTACATGGTGATGGGAACATGCCTGGGGCAAGCAGGTGAAAAACCACATGGAGAAAGCCAGGAGCATCCTGAGTTGGGCTCCTGGTCTACGTGGAACAAGTAGACCATGAGCCCTTTAGCAAGGGGAGAGATGTTGATAGAGGTTGTAGACCCTGACCCACAGCTATGAGGAAGAACAGGGAACATGTCACCTATGAACTTTGTCTGTCCTCTGCCATACTATCCCAGGAGCAAGGAGAGCCTGCAGTGATTGTGAAGGTATCTTTCCTACATTTTTGCTTTTTGTTTATTCCATGCATCTGGATAAAATGACAATGCAAAAACTGCACACGAATACACAAGGGCCCATGAATTTTTGTTCCCTTATGCCAAGGCTTACGTGACCTAGTTGTTTCATTTCCCATGCATGGTGTTTTCATTTTTAAAAAAATCATATTTAACTATTCATTTTTAATAATAATATAATAACTTTATTTTTATACCCCGAAGGGACTTGGGATAGCTTACAAAGGAACAAGCCCAGAGAACACAGAGCTAAAACGTAATGCAATAAAATAAAACAAAACAACACCAAATAGAAACATATCACAATAAAACGTAACATCATAAAAACATTACCATGGGAGCAATAAAAGTGCTGAGTTCAGAGGGCTCTGTGTTTGTGCAATTCCTAGATAGAGCTAAGGGAAAGTGCAAAAATTCAGTGGAAGGGATGGGAGAATAATGTCCTTAGGCTTTATAATGTCAGAATTGTAGAGTGGAGGGCCGTGCTAAAGTGCCAGAACATAAGTATTAAAGGGCCAATTCTTTGGAACTGCCTAATCAAAGGCACAACAGAACATCCATGTTTTTAGGTTCTTGCGGAAGGAGGACAGGGTAGGTGACAGTCTGATCTCTCTAGGAAGAGTTCTAGAGCCGGGGGGGGGGGGGGGGGGGGGGAGGACCACCAAGAAGGCCCTCTCCCTCATCCTCACCAACTGCACCTGAGACGGAGGCAGAAGTGAGAGAAGGACCTCCCCGGGTGAGCTTAGGGCTTATGTTGATTCATAGGTGAAGATGTGGTGCAGGAACTTATAATTACTCTTTCCTTGCTATTTCTGTCTTTGGTATCAATAATTCCATAAAAGAAATAATGTCCAGGAATATTTGTTCTTCTTCACTCGAGGCATACCTGCATACGTTTATTATTGTAATGATGATCTATACCAGTGGCTTCTATTTGTCACTGTGAATAGTATATGTGTATTTTCAGTGACTCCTCTTGTAGTCATGCGTGGCAGCATGAGGTGGCTGTGCATCAGCATTCCTTCAGGATAGCAGGACTTTGCAGTTCTCCCTTTCTCCTTGATAGAAGAAAATACCTAGCTAGGGGAGTGGCAGACTAGTATTGCCATGGATGGCGTTCAAAGAAAACCACACCCACACAGCCTGGGGATAGCCTTTTTGGCATGGAATAGTTAATTGCCACGTAAACACAGGGCTTGCACCTAATTTAGCCTCAGTTAAAGGAATAGTCAGCAACAAATACAGTACAGTTCCCACTAATTTGGATAGAAGTAATGTTGCATAAGTAGAAGCCTGCTCACAATGGGACTTTTATCCTCTTTCTTCTTCTTAGTAACTCCCACTCCCCTCAAAATCCTGCAAAACATGTGAGAGCAGGAGGAGGACTTAAAGGAAGTGGAATGAATTGTGCTGATTCGATCAGCAGAAAAACTTCAAAAACTTCATTGAATGTCACCTGTTCGTTTTATTCTCCCATTCAGTATTTTCTCCATTCACACAAAAATGTTTTGCAGTTCACATTGGTTCACTTTTACATATCGGAGATAGCCTGTTGTATGTCTTTCTTAAAAGTCCAGTTGTATGCAGAGTAAGTGTATATAAAATTGCAGGTTTAAGGTCCTGATACGCATACACAGCTATTCTCTTTGGGAACAATTTAGATGTTACTGAAATAGAGAAAGAAGAAGTAGAAGCCAAGGTCACATTGCAGTTCTTTCACTTCAGCTGCATACCTCTTGATCAATGGGCTTCCACATATTTTGGACTTCATCTTCCAGAACTGGCTGTAGTATGTGGAGGACTTAAAACACCTGGAGGACTAAAATTTGGGAATCACTCCTCTAGATCCTCTTTGGTCAATGGCAGACTCCTAAAACTAATGAAAACATTGCGTTGCTTTTGCTGTGGGTCAGCCACCGAAGACCTAACCTGTGAAGTATAATCACAATGGTTGAATGGAAATCTGCTGCTCTGTGAAATTGTACCATTGCTTTACCCTGCTCTGTATGTTGTGTTGGTATTTGATCTTCTCACCCCAGTTTTTCTGCATCTTTTCTAGATGTGACCCAGGCTGGGATGGGGTATCTTGTGAGCAGTGTGTGAGGATGCTGGGCTGTATCCATGGAACATGCCACCAACCCTGGCAATGTATCTGTCAAAATGGCTGGGCTGGCAAGTTCTGTGACAAAGGTAAGTCATTCCGGTTCAAACTGGGAAAATCTTGAATAAGAGTAAAGGCTGCTCAGGAAAAGGACACAAAATAAACATGCTGTAAGTCTCACAAGAAGCTTTCTCACATGACATTAGATTGTAGGTCTGTATAGCTCAATATCATCTACATTGATGGAGCCCCCGGTGGCACAATAGGTTAAACCCTTGTGTTGGCAGGAATGAAGACTGACAGGTCAGAGGTTCGAATCCGGGGAGAGTGTGGATGAGCTCCCTCGTCAGTTCTAGCTCCCCATGCGGGGACATGAGAGAAGCCTCCCACAAGGATGGTAAAACCCTATCCTTCTTAGATAGAGGTAGTGGCTGGGTCTGTCTTTGTAGGCATTAGTTTGATGGCTTTCTTGGTAAGAATAAATAATCACATCCCAATTGGAACTAAAACCAAATGGATAGCCAATGCAATTGTTTAAGGACCATTGCAATATGGCATGTGAAATAGACATCAGAGAGCAGTCTGCCTACCCATTTTGCACCAGTACAGATGAAGATTCTGTAGCTCATGTTTGATTAAACTTGCTCTGATTTTCTGCCATCAAAGATCTGGCCTCCACCCCAAAAATCCAAAGTACATTCTGCACCAAATATTACTTGTGCCAGCTTGCTCATTTGGCCCGACTCTGTGGGGAAGATGCTTAGTGGCAGTCATGTCCATTGCTCTGGGCATTTCCCTATTCGAGACATTGGTTGGAATTTCTACAGGGTAACTTGCTCATAGAAAGCTACCTTTCTGTGTGAGGGACATATGCCTTTCCCCTCAATTTCTTGCTATCATAACATACTGCAAAAACAGGAATAACTATGTTCTTTAAAACTAAACATGTGCCTTTTCAGTCAGTCTAGATCAGCTATGAGCAAATTTTGGTCCTCTGGGTGTTTTGGACTTCAACTCCCACAATTCCTAACAGCTGATAAGACTGCTGGGATTTCTAGGAGTTGAAGTTCAAAACATCTGGAGAACATGTAAACCTGAAGCTTGCAGTTTTGCTATTCAGGATCTGATTTTAGAAATTCTAAGATCCCAGCTCCTGCAGCCTCCAGTTAGCATATTCAGCATGAAAGTTGTAGTGACTTTCCCAAGCTATGTACAAGAGCTCTGTCCTTCTTTGCATCTGGATATCCTCTCTCATACCTTTCATTGCAAAATATCTGTTATCATTGTAAATAAAAATAATAAACTACTGTTTCCTTTCTTTGTGTTATGCTTTAGCATGAGAAATGCACAATTAATATCTTCATTTACTGACTTGCATCCCTTTATCCTTTCAGATGTGCACATTTGTGAGCACCAGCCTCCATGTCAGAACGGAGCCCAGTGCATCTACGATCGTGATGGGGAATATTCATGCCTGTGTCTTGAAGGATTCCATGGGAAGGACTGCGAGCTGAAGACAGGGCCATGTGAGAAGTCAGGGTGAGAGATCCTAATAGAAATAGATGGAGGTGCACCTGAGGAGAGAGTTAATTGTATGTGTTTATTTTATGTCTGTTTATGCAACATTGAATTGTTGCCTACTTGTAAGCCACTCAGAGTCCCCTTCGGGGTGAGAGAGAGCGTGGTATAAATATAGTAAAATAAATACATACATAAATAAATAAGATAAACTTCTCTGTGGGCCACACCAATTGTGGTTAGGGATTTGGCCTGCTGAGCAAAGTTATTTACATTATTGCTTTCTGAAAATATGAATGCAAAACATAGAAATTAATAGCAGATCTTAGTTGCATGGAATGAGGGCCTAGTTTTATCCCATCAAATACAGCACAGTCAGTAGGGATGTTGTAACCTGTGCTTGATCTCTCATTTCAGGTTTCCGTGCAAGAATGGTGGGCTGTGCCAGGATAAGAATGGCTTTGCTAGCAACTACACCTGCAAGTGCCTTGCCGGATTCACTGGTGTGCATTGCGAGATTGATGTGGATGACTGCCTGATGCAGCCCTGTGCCAATGGTGCCACCTGCCTCGATGGCATGAACCGTTTCTCCTGCCAATGCCAGGCTGGCTTTGAAGGCCGTTTCTGCACTATCAACATTGATGACTGTGCCAACCAGCCTTGCAGAAATGGGGCCAAGTGTTACGACCGCATCAATGATTTTGATTGCTTATGCCCTGAGGGCTTTGTTGGCAAGACCTGTGAGCTCCCTGCACCAGAACCAACATGGGTCACTGCATTTGAGCCTGGTGACAAGGACCACGATAATGCTGTGACCAGCATTGACCTTTGGACAGCCCAGTCTGATCCTGCAAGGACTGTAGTTACTGGGAAAAGAATCACTAACTACAGTGAGAAATCAAATGGGGGAGGGCTCCTCATCTCTGTGAAAGAGGTGGTGACCCAGCAGGACTCAGGGCTGAGCCAGTCGCAGCTCATTTTACTGCTGGTGTTTGGCCTGCTCACTATGCTTTTGGTCTTTGTAACTGTCTTGATGGTTCTGCTCAAGAACTGGCAGAGAGGGAATCAGAGGTGCCAGAGCCCATCCCAGTCTGCAAGGAAACTTCAGGACCAAGAGTGTCAAGTGGGAATGTTAAGTACAGTCTTGGTAGAACCCAGGAAAACAACAGAGCTGTAAGGCTTCCCAGGCTGGAGCCTGGTGGATCTATATACACTCACCAATGATTCAATGAGCTGTATCCTGGGGGCTGTTCCAGGTTGTGCATCTTGAGAGCTTTGAAGAACTTAATGTTGTGAAACAGTGGCAAAGAAGATGTCCACAAGGTGGTAAACCCCTGTCTGAAAACAGAGATTTCAGAGGTATGCAGCTTAAGCCCCTGGCATATGATATCACATTACCAAGGCAGCCAAGGCATTAACTGGGTTCGGAGAATGGCCCAGTGCTGGAAACCGTATGCAAGCAAAATGGATGGAGACCATCCCACGTGCACTTAAAAGGAGTTGCTAGAACATGGCCAGGTGTGCCATAACAGGATGTAAGGGGTGAACTTTGATTAGACCCTCAGACATCTGGTTGGTTCCTCTTGGTCAGAGTCATTGGAGGTGTCATGTGGCCTGACAACTCAAGGGATCTTAGAAACTTCTCCGTATATGTCTCATTGTTAGAGTTCTGGCACAGACATCATAGGATTTCCCATTCTGCCTAGAAGCCTTTGGTGTTTTTGAATCACCATAAGCTTAACTGAGGGCCTAATGTTTCCACTAGCCAGTCTGCAGATTATACTGGTGAATCAGGACCATGTCTCGCCTGTTCTGTCCTTTCTTCTTCTGGCTGAAAATGTTTTGAACTGTGTGTCCTTTCTGTTCTTTACCAACCTAACACCTCATTTATTCAGTTATGATATCAGTCGAGAAGGGGCAAAAATATATACAGGCCCAATGCCCTTTCTCCGTTTAAGATAACTGGTGTGTCTTTCCACTTGCCAGAAAGGAAATGCATGTGTTATATGAAGTTGGAAATTGAAGTCTGGTTTAATGAGTAGCAATCCCAGTTCTAAAAAAACTTTGCTGAGAGATCAGATTTTGGAGTGACCCCAAAACAACCATGATAGCACTTACCAGTCCAACTGAAATGATGGTGTGGGGTGTTTGCTGGCTCCAGAACCTGTGATCACTTTAGTGGAGACAAAATACATATATATGCAAAGTTATATTGAAATTCTGAGACAAAACATGGTTTCAAAATGCCACTTCAAAAAACTTCCTTGTGTTGCACTGTTACATGTATTTGCAGTCATTTGTTCACCCAACTTTTCCAGAACACTGAAAGCTGCTTTATACCAAATCAACCAATTGGTTCTTCTAGTTCAATATTTTCCACACTAATCTTGTAGCAGCTTGCTAGCATTTCACATCAGAGTCCTTACCTGGATATATCAAAGTTTGAACCCAAGTCGCCCGAGGATGAGAAGGGCAATATACAAATGCAGTAAATAAATAGTAATAAATAATGAACCTGGGACCTTCTGTGTGCAAAGGATGTGCTCTACCGTTGAGCAACCTACTCCCCCCTCCTTTCCAATTGTTAATGAAGGTGGTGATGTAATGAACCAGATCTAGATATTCATTCTGTTGGCAGTGTGCACCTTTTTCAGTAAAGTCTACCCCACTTTGACTGTTCATACTGGTCCTTGAGACAGAAGTCTCAGTCCCCTCCCTTTCTCTGCCTGAGCCCCAAGACTGTAGCTAAGAACAGAGTTTTCTCACTGATCCGAATTATTCTTTTTATCTCCCCCCCCCCCATATTAAGAATAAATTAAGACCCCAGTTCCATGTCCAAGAAGCAAAATATTATGTATTTGGAAATACAATTTGAGCTACTCAAAAGGATAGGGAAGGATGGGGATTTCACCAGAAATATTATTTTTGTAATACACATTTGATGAATGGTGTAACTTTGTAAAATAAATACAACAACTAAAATACAAGAACCAGTACCTTGCTGTCTATTCCCCAGACCTCATGGCTGCTTCCAAATGAATAAGTTTTGTGGGATAACCATGCATTCTACACAAATATTTGTGCTCTTTATGTTTCTCCCCACTTCTTTTTAAAGAGTGGATGGATTTGCTATAAATCAGTGGTTCTCCACCTGTGGGTCCCCAGATGTTTTGGTCTTCAACTCCCAGAAATCCTAACAGCTGGTAAACTGGCTGGGATTTATGGGAGTTGTAGGCCAAAACAGCTGGGGACCCACAGGTTGAAAACCACTGCTATAAGCTATGACTTATTTCGCAGGTGAACTTGTAAGATCTCCACATGGTCAGCATTACCAGTATGAGGAGTTTCATTTTCATTTCCAATTCACTTTGAATCGGTCTTTTATGTAGTGCTAAAACATTACTGAAAACTGTTTAGATGGCTCTTGCACATCTGTCCTATTACTTCTGCAGCAGTGGCCTCCTTGGATTGCCAGGATCTACATCACCCTTACAAGAGGGTTATAGATCAATAGTCACAGTTAAAGCAGTTTTTGGCTAAAGCAGATGCCAGATTGTACCAGGGATATAATCAAATTCACTGATTCTGGAAAGAAAATCTATTTGTGGAAAGAAGACTTGTGTTACATACCTTACCTCAAGCTTGTATTTGTCTACTCAGGTGGGACTTATCTGTTAATAACTGATTAAATTATGACATTGGAGGAAGTATAAATGGCTGGGTAGGTAAGACTGATGTAGCAAATGCAGGACTCTTAAGGATATTTACCACCCTCATTCAATTTGGACCACTTTGACACTACACAATAATAATTATATATTCCAATTCAACTGCCATGGCAACAATCTGGAAACCCCAGGATTTGCTGTTCAGGGAGGGACATTATAATTATAAAATAATATAGTAATAATCTTTCTTTACACCCCGCCTTTCTCCCTGTGGGGACTCAAGGCTGCTAACAATCCCACACTTAGAAGTTTAAAAAGCACAAAGTTAAAAAACAAATAGTCACAGTGTGGTAAAACAGATTAAAATGCAATGACTACACTTAAAAAGCTTTTAAGACTCACAGCCAGAGAGATCTAATTACTTCACCAAACAACAGATCTCAAGACACTATAGGAGCAGTCATAGCAGTTACATAATTATGGAATTTGAATGAACCTGTGGTTAGATATGGCTTTAAACAGTTGGCTTATATTTGGAAGTCTTGATATTCTGAATATGCATATTAAGCAGGCACAACTGAGTCTCATTAGTAATGGAGTTTTCTACTGCTTCTGCTAATCCTTAACATATGACGGATTTTGGATTATGCTACCTCAGTGTGATTACAATTAACAAATATCCTGGATGTTCAAATTGAAGGAATAACTACTGAAGGGACTGATGATGTTGCATTTCTGCAGGGAACATTTTCCCTCCCGTCTTTATGTCTAGAGAACAGGTTCAGTGTAGCATAACAAAGAAGAATATGGGGGGAGTCCTTGTGAGTTCACATTTAAAATCAGTCAAGTTAACTCAGCCTTGTACTGTATTTCATTTTTACTATAGAAAATATGTGTGTGTGTATGTATGTGTGTGTATATCTGATACAATGAAAGTAAAACACTTCAAACAATGATTCTTAGTAGCAGCACCATGGAAGGCACAGATGTCATGCAGCCAATGACTGAAGTCCCACATGCTCAACAGAATTCCCTTTCTTGCATTCACTATCCCTTGGTGCCAACTGACAAGCTGCCTTTCAAATTTGGACAAGTTTCCAAAGTGAAATAAGAAGCTATGCTCAGAAACGTGCCCTTTTGGAAAATTCCCAAAGCCAAGATCTTCAGGAAAGATGCTGCAGTCTGCACTCAGTATTCTTGTTTTTGTTGTTATGTGCCTTCCAGTATATTTCAGCTGTTGGCGCCAAATACATTCATGCTGCAGATGAAAACAGGTGGGGAAATGGAGACTTGAGGGGCAGACAAAGGGAAATAAAATGAGATCTTTTAGGCAGGGGAAGTAGCATAAAAGAACACACAAAGGCATGAAAAGAAAAAGGTGATAAGGAGAAGGCAGCAGATGGGGTTGGTGAGTAGAGGAAGGGGGGGGAGAGGCAAAATTAACAAGGGTTTTCCTTTTATGGCAATTTGGTGAAGGCTTTAGGTTTTGGAGGGGGTTTTGTTCTTTGTGTCTTTGCAATGCAGACTTCGGAGAATAAGAGATGTCAAATAAGGTGACATCTTTTATCAGACTTGTTCCAATAAATTTCCCGCTGAACATCTTGTGTCAAGTCAGGACAGGCAGGCTGCTGCTAAAAGGGAGGAGTTTTGTGGGTGGGAAGGAGAGGCTGAAACAAAGCTGCTTAAGTTAGTGAGACTAAAAGCGGGAAAAGTGAAATGTGAGATTGAGGTGGTAGGCTTAATCTAAAGGTGAAAAGATGACTACTTCTAACAATTATGGTAATACTATAGGCATATAAGTTCAGTTCAGAGATAGGTCATTTTCCTGCTCTTCTTTCCCAAAAACTAGTATGGGGAGACTCAGAGCCTCTGGTACTTGGAGGCAATCTAGAGCACTGCCCCAAATGGGGTCCCCTTAGCTCAATGATGGGGTCACAAAATGGTTTCTGAACACCATCCATTTACACAAATCTGTTAGCAACACAATGCAGGATTTACAGTGGACTCTGCAGAAAATCAGCAATAACAACAACATAACAAGTTTCTTACCCGCTTCTCCTTGCGGCTTAAGGCAGGTTGCAAGATAGCTAAAACACATAATCACAGTACAAGATAACTAAAACACATAATGCACATTATATAAAATACACATAGTAAAATGTATTTCTGCAAATACATATATTAAAGTACACAGAACAACTATTAAAATATAGTTAACACAAAACACAAAAATTAAAACCAACCTAATTAAATGCTAATCAAGGTGACCAATTGCAACATTCACACCTGTCTCAAACAGACGAGTTCTTTCTCCCAACCTGGGCATTCCACAGATATATAAAGTTGCCTAGTTTCCAACAGATCTCACAACCTCTGGGGATGTCTGCCATAGATGTAGGTGAAATGTCAGGAGAGAATGCTTCTGGAACATGGCCATACAGACTGGAAAACTTGCAGCAACCCAGTTATTCCAACCATGAAATCCTCCAACAACACATTAAAATCAATCTGTTTAGCAAGCCTCGCAAATACTGGTTTATTAGGAAATGTTTGACTTTTATACATATTTTATATACCTATATAATTGGATTCATGTAAACATTTCTTGGGTGAAAAGGTGTGGAAAAAGTTGAAGTCCCGATCTGGAGCAATCATGAGTAGAAGACACTGATATTCTTATCCTCCATGAATAGGTAGACATCTAATAAGCAATATACACCTCTCTCTAGTATTAAACTTGTCAAAAGCCAGACTAATAAGATTTTTATAAATATGCAGAAAGAATGAATCATGTGATCTTAACACTTACAGAAGTGTTCCCTACCTTCTGCCTACTGGATGTATAGATCAGAGCTTGAAAGGTTATTTTAAAAAAGCATTTTGATAAAGTTTATGTTATAATTCTAGCTCCCTGCAGGAACTAGATATTGTTAGAGTTGGAATTTTAGAACTGTAATTATTTCCCATATCATAAAGAAACACGAGATAAAACACCTCAACCTACAAGCTGGTGGCCTGTGGCAGAAAATTCCTCTTCCTGTCCACCTCTTTGCTGCCTCACCCACCTCAATAAAGTGCAAGATAGCAACAACAGGCACAAAGTGGTTGAACCTTGTGCCCCATTTAGTGAGGTCACATAACTATTTCCCCTCATTACAGGAATAATGACAGTATAAAGTAGTTATACTTCTGTAACTGGTTGTGTCGCAGCTGCTTGGGAGTCAACTGCATTAAAATCACTACTGACCGAAAGGTCATGAGTTCGAAGCCAGCCTGAGTAGGAGTGAGCTTTTGGCCATTTGTCTAGCTTGCTGTCGACCTTTGCAGTCCGAAAGACAGTTGCATGTGTGAAGTAGGAAATTTAGGTACCCGTTATGGGGAGAGGCTAATTTAACTAATTTACAATGCCATAAAACTCCCCAGCAGCTTGCAAAGAATGAGGAAGTACTCCATCAGTATCACAAGTGGATGGTGAAGCGACAGCTCCCCCGGTGGCCGGAATTCAAAAAGCATACTCATGAAGCTGGAAAGTTAAATAGTCTCTGCTATATATGTTGTGTATCTATGGCATTGAATTTTTGCCATGTATGTGTGTATTGTGATCTGCCCTGAGTCCCCTGTGGGGTGAGAAGAGTGGAATATAACTGGACAAAGAAATTAAAGATAGATAACACATTATTTGCAACTAGCTACTGGTATGCCCAAGATCTTGTTTGGATGATATTTTACAAGTCTACATCATCCCTGGCCATATTGCCTGGGGCTAATGGAGTATCTGTGAATCATAGTGAACTGCCGGAAATAGACCAGACAACGGCCTAAAAGAATGTCAATTGGGGGGTTTTATCTATTGAATGTTTATATTGTTTTAGGTTAGTTATTTATTATGTGTGTTGCAGGTTTTATAATTTTATCAGCTATGCCTTGGTCTGATGTGTATGTTTATTTTAATGCTTTTAATTTATTTGTTTACATGTTCGCAGCTTTGAGTCCTGATTTTGAGAGAAAAGCGGGATAGAAATAAAATAACAATAATAATAGGAGTTCAACAACATCTGGATGGTACCAGATTGAGGAAGGATGGCCTCTAGTCTCAAATCACATGTTCCAGAAACAATTTATTTTCTATGAGTAGACCTAGGACACAGTTTTGCTATGTGAACATCACTGCAAGAGAAAGACTGAAATTCTATGCATTTATGTATAACTAAGTGTACATCTACACTGTAGAATTAATGCAGGTTAACATCACTTGAACTTCCATGGCTCAATGCTGTGGATTCATGGGAGTTGTAGATTTACAAGCCCTAGAGCCTTCTCAGCCAAAGAGTGCTGGTGCCTCATCAACTTACAACTGCCATGATTCCAGAGCACTGAGCTACGGCAGTTAAAGTGGTTTCAAACTGTGTTAATTATACAATGTAGATGCACCCTAATTTAACATGAAATTAGTGGGAGAGAGCCACACTACGACAGAAACTGGCTTCTTAAAAAATGCATTAGGTGTTCAGCTTTGTTTAGGGACTCTGCGACGCCACCTGCTGGACAAGTCAGGTTTATTTATTTGTCGTGTCAGAGCAACCAGTCCATTATATTACATTTCTAACAGAACAAAGCAAACAAACAGACAAATACAAAACTTGTGAGTTTGGTAGTTGGTTAAATGTCCTTTGACCAGTATCTGGCAACTTGGAGAGCTTCTGGTGTTGCTGCAAGAAGGTCCTCCATTGTGCATGTGGCAGGGCTCAGGTTACATTGCAGCAGGTGGTCAGTGGTTTGCTCTTCTCCACACTCACATGTCGAGGATTCCACTTTGTGGCCCCATTTCTTGAGGTTGGCTCTGCATCTCATGGTCCAGAGCGCAGTCTGTTCAGCGCCTTCCAAGTCGCCCAGTCTTCTGTGTGCCCAGGAGGGAGTCTCTCATTTGGTATCAGCCACTGGTTGAGGTTCTGGGTTTGAGCCTGCCACTTTTGGACTCTCGCTTGCTGAGGTGTTCCAGCGAGTGTCTCTGTAGATCTTAGAAAACTAAGTCAGGTTAAATAAGTACAAAGCTCTAAGAATTAATTCAAGAATTTAGTTAAAGGGCTACATACTGATTAAGATTTTAAAGAGAGGGGAAGCAGAGCAGTTCAACTGCCTGCAGTGTGAACTCTGTTTCATGCTCTGACAATTTCTACCTCTGTTTGCCCACTCAGAACACAACTGAATACAGAGCTGGGAAAACTATAGAGTAGACCTTCCATCAGCTTATTGCAATCTGGCCATGGAAAGGAGTCATGGCAGTAGCAGTTCAGCAACATCTGAAAGGCCACAGGGTTTCCCAACCCAACATTTAGGGTGGGATGTACTGTAGGACACACAAACTGCACAACATGCATTATATTACAGCTGTGAAGACACAAAACAGAGCAATTGTAAAAATTGTTTTTCCGCATGTCACCAGTCTCGATAAAATCGTAAAGAGTAAAGATATCAGACTGGCAACAAAGATCCGCCTAGTCAAAGCCATGATCTTCCCTGTAGTCACCTACGGATGTGAGAGCTGGACCTTAGGGAAGGCTGAGCGAAGGAAGATCGATGCTTTTGAGCTGTGTGTTGGAGGAAAGTTCTGAGAGTGCCTTGGACTGCGAGAAGATCCAACCAGTCCATCCTCCAGGAAATAAAGCCCGACTGCTCATTGGAGGGAAGGATACTAGAGACAAAGTTGAAGTACTTTGGCCACCTCATGAGGAGACAGGAAAGCCTAGAGAAGACAATTATGCTGGGGAAAGTGGAAGGCAAAAGGAAGAGGGGCCGACCAAGGGCAAGATGGATGGATGGCATCCTTGAAGTGACTGGACTGACCTTGAGGGAGCTTGGGGTGGTAACGGCTGAAAGGGAGCTCTGGCGTGGGCTGGTCCATGAGGTCACGAAGAGTCGGAGACGACTGAACGAATGAACAACATCATACTATCTCTAAAATGATCAAGGGTCTGGAGAACAAGCCCTATGAGGAGCGGCTTAAAGAGCTGGGCATGTTTAGCCTGAAGAAGAGTAGGCTGAGAGGAGACTTGATGGCCATGTATAAATATGTGAGAGGAAGTCATAGGGAGGAGGGAGACCAGGACACAGAACAATGGCTTCAAACTACAAGAAAGGAGATTCCATCAGAACATGTCCTCGAGTTCAGATGACACTCTTGCAGTGACTCTCAGCAATATCTGCTGCTATTCACACAGCAAACTGTGCCTTAGGTTTTCACTTTGCGAAGAAAATAAATTAAGTAACACTGAGCCATGGCCGTTCACGTGATGCCGAACTGAGTGTTTGTAGTGTCTAAAGAACGGGACCAGGGCTTAGGTTTTATCCTACCACGCGCGCAGTACGCATGCGCACGCCGGCTCAAAGGCCGCCTCCGCCATTTTGAAAAGATGGCGAATGAGATGCCTCCCCCGCCCCTCTATTACGTCATTTCCGGCGCTGTGATATTTACGTTCTCAGGGCCGCAAACCAGGCAGGAGGTTGGGGAGTGTTATGGATCGAGGCGGCACTAGCAGCAGCACCCGAGGTTCCCGAAGTGCCCGCTCCAGGTCGCGGCGGAGGCGCTCGGCCTCCCCTCCTTCCGCTCGGGGCCGGAGGAGGTCGCGCTCTTCTTCCCCCCGCCGCCGCCTCCTCCCCGGTGGACACTCGCCCGCACCGCGCCGCGGAAGAAGGGTAGGCGCTCCGCGAGGGGCCGGGAGAGGAAGGCCGAGGCATCGTAATCATTAGGTTCTTGTGGGTTTTTTCGGGCTATAGGGCCATGTTCTAGAGGCATTCTCTCCTGACGTTTCGCCTGCATCTATGGCAAGCATCCTCAGAGGTAGTGAGGTCTGTTCCTATTTCCAACAGACCTCACTACCTCTGAGGATGCTTGCCATAGATGCAGGCGAAACGTCAGGAGAAATGCCTCTAGAACATGGCCCTATAGCCCGAAAAAAACCACAAGAACCTAGTGATTCTAGCCATGAAAGCCTTCGACAATAAATCCTAATCATTCATCATCTCAGTAACAATAACCACTATCATCGTCATCTACTGTAACAGGTCGAACACCCTTTATCCCTAATAATAATAATAATAATAATAATAATAATAATAAGCTATACAAGGTTAGACATCACTTGTCCCTAATGATATTAATATTAATAATAATAATAATAGGGCGAATATCTCTAATAATAATAATCTATAACAGGTCAAACATCTCTTAGCCATGATGATGATAATAATAATCTATAACGGGTCAAACATCCCTTATCCCTAAATATCAATAAGCTATGATATGTCAAACATCCCTTATCCGTAATAATATCAATAAGCTATGATATGTCAAACATTCCTATCCCTAATAATATCAATAATCTGTAATATGAACAAGCCCTATGAGGAGCGGCTTAAAGAGCTGGACATGTTTAGGCTGAAGAAGGGAAGGCTGAGAGAAGACATGATAGCCATGTGTGAGGAGGTCATAGGGAGGAAGGAGCAAGTTTGTTTTCTGTTGTCCTGGAGACTAGGATGCGGAAAAATGGCTTCAAACTACAAGAAAGGAGATTCCACCTGAATATATGGAAGAACTTCCTGACTGTGAGAGCCATTCAGAAGTGGCACTCTCAGCCCCAAAGTGAGGTGGAGGCTCCTTCTTTTGTAGTTTTTAAACAGAGACTGGATGGCCATCTGTCGTGGGTGCTTTGAATGCAATTTTCTTTCTTCTTGGCAGGCTGTTGGACTGGATAACCTATGAGGTCTCTTCCAACTCTATGATTCTATGTCAAACATCCCTTATCCCTAATAATATCAATAATATATAATACGTCAAATATTCCTCATAGCTAACAATAACCATAATAATCTATAACAGATTGAACATCTCACATTCCTAATAATATCAATAATAATAATAATCTATAACAGGTCAAATATCACTTATCCCTAATATTATTAATAATCTATAACAGGTCAAACATCTCTTAGCTATGATGATAATAATAATAATAATAATCATCATCATCATCATCTATAATACGTCAAACATCCCTTATCCCTAATAATATCAATAATATATAATACAGCAAACATTCCTCATAGCTAACAATAACCATAATAATCTATAACAGATTGAACATCTCACATCCCTAATAATATCAATAATTGTCGAAGGCTTTCATGGCTGGAATCACTAGGTTCTTGTGGGTTTTTTCGGGCTATAGAGCCATGTTCTAGGCATTTCTCCTGACGTTTCGCCTGCATCTATGGCAAGCATCCTCAGAGGTTGAGAAGGTCTGTTGGAAGTAGGAAAAATGGGTTTATATATCTGTGGAATGGCTGGGGTGGGGCAAGGAGCTCTTCCCTGCTGCAGTTAGGTGTGAATGTTTAGCTGATCACCTTCATTAGCATTTGAAGGCCTGCCTGAGTCTGGGAAAATCTGTTGCTGGGAGGTGTTAATCTGTGCCTGGTTTTTCAGCAATCTCAAGCTCAAGAAATCAGCAATCTCAAGCTAAATACAAACGACAAACTGATCAGCTTCGATGTGGTATCTCTATTTACCATGGTCCCGGTAGCAGACACCATGGCACTCATCAACCAGAGGTTCCCAGAAGACATCACGGCTCTGTTTCACCATTGCCATACCACCAGTTACTTTCAGTGGGACAATGAATTCTACGAACAGAAAGATGGAGTAGCTATGGGGAGCCCTCTCACCCGGTCATAGCTAACTTCTACATGGAACACTTTGAAGAACAAGCCCTGGAAACAGCAACCAAAAAGCCCACGATATGGTTCAGATATGTGGATGACACCTTCACCATTTGGAGCCATGGAGAAGAAGAACTCAACAGGTTCCTGGACCATCTCAACAGCATCCACCCAAACATCCAGTTCACCATGGAAAAAGAAAATGAAGGAAGACGGCCTTTTCTAGATGTCCTAGTCATCCGCAAACCAGATCAACAATTGGGTCACACCGTCTACAGAAAACCCACACACACAGATAGATATCTACATAAAAACTCCAACCATCACCCAAGTCAAAAAAGAAGCCCCATTAAAGCCTTGGCAGACCGTGCAAAAAGAATCTGCGAACCCCACCTCCTCCAAGATGAACTGAACCACCTCAACTGGGCTCTCCAGGCCAATGGATACTCCACCTCAGACATCAGAAGAGCTGCAAGACCAAGAACAAGCCACGAGAGTAAAGATGAAGATCCACCCAGAGGAAAAGTGTTCCTGCCATACATCAAGGGAACCACTGATCGCATAGGGAAGCTGATGAGGAAACACAACATACAAACAATCTACAAACCCACCAAGAAAATCCAACAAATGCTACGTTCAGCAAAGGACAAGAGGGATCCTCTCACCTCTGCAGGAGTCTACCGTATACCATGCAGCTGTGGACAAGTCTACATAGGGACCACCAAATGCAGCGCCCAGACACGCATCAAGGAACATGAAAGGCACTGCAGACTACTTCAACCAGAGAAGTCATCCATAGCAGAGCACCTGATGAACCAGCCTGGACACAGCATATTATTTGAGAACACAGAAATGCTGGACTACACCAACAACCACCATGTCAGACTACACAGAGAAGCCATTGAAATCCACAAGCATGTGGACAATTTCAACAGAAAGGAAGAGACCATGAAAATGAACAAAATCTGGCTACCAGTATTAAAAAACTCTAAAATTACAACAGCAAAACAGCAGAGAGGAAACAACCAGGCACATCTTAACACCTCTCAACAAAAGATTTTCCCAGGCTCAGGCAGGCCTTCAAATGCTAATGAAGGTGATCAGCTAAACATTCACACCTAACTGCAGCAGGGAAGAGCTCCTTGCCCCACCCCAGCCATTCCACAGATATATAACCCATTTTTCCTACTTCCAACAGACCTTCTCAACCTCTGAGGATGCTTGCCATAGATGCAGGCGAAACGTCAGGAGAAATGCCTCTAGAACATGGCTCTATAGCCCGAAAAAACCCACAAGAACCTAATATCAATAATAATAATAATCTATAACAGGTCACATATCACTTATCCCTAATATTAATAATAATCTATAACAGGTCAAACATCCCTTATCCCTAATAATATCAATAGTCTATAATATGTCAAACATTATATAACAGATTGAACATTTCACATCCCTAATAATAAATATAATAATAATCTATAACAGGTCAAATATCCCTTATCCCTAACAATATCAATAATATATAATATGCCAAACATTCCCCATAGCTAATGAAAATAAGCATAATAATCTGTAACAGATTGGACATCTCACATCCCTAATAATATCAATAATAATAATAATAATAATCTATAAGGTTGAATATCCATTATCCCTAATAATAATAATAATCTGTAAAAAGTCAAACATCTCTTAAGCATGATGATCATGATGATAATGATAATCTATAACAGGTGAAATATCTCTTAGCCATGATGATAATAGTCATCATCATCATCATCATCATCTATAACAGGTCAAACATCCCTCATGCCTAATAATATCAATAAGCTATAATATGTCAAACGTCCCTTATCCCTAATAATAATAATAATAATAATAATAATAATAATAATCTAAAACTGGTCAAACATCACTTAGCCACGATGATGATAATAATCTTCATCATCATCTATTACAGGTAAAACATCCCTTATCCCTAATAATTTCAATAGTCTATAATACGTCAAACATTCTTCATAGCTAACAATAATAAGCATAATAATCTATAACAGATGGAACATCTCACATCCCTAATAATATCTATATAAATTAAAATGTAATGTTCATTTGTGGGATTAACATAATTCAAAAACCACTGGATGAATTGCCGCCAAATTTGGCCACAAGACACCTACTAACCCAAGGAGTGACCATCACTTTGCAGACGGCCAGTTTTTTCACACCAGAAGCGACTTGCAGTTTCTCAAGTTGCTCCTGACATGAAAATAATAATAATAACAATCTATAACTGGCCGAAAACCTCTTATCCTTAACAATATCAATAATCTACTATAACAGGTCAAACATCTTGCCCCTAATAATATAAATAGTAATAATCATTATAACAGGTTGAACATCCCTTATCCCTAATATATCAAAAATCTATAATGGGTTGAACATCTCTTATCCCTAAAAATATCAATAATCTACTATTACATGTCGAACATCCTTTATCCTTAAGCATCATCATCTACTATAACAGGTTGAACATCTCTTAGCCATGATAATAATAGTAATCAATAATGGTTGAACATCTCTTGTCCCTAATAATATCAATCATAATAATTTATAACAGGTTGAACATCCCTTATCCCTAATAATAATAGTCATCATCATCTATAACAGATTGAATATTTCTTATCCCTAATAATAATAGCAACAAAACCTGGGTGGCTGAGAGAGCGTCACCATTCCTTTCTGATCATTCAATGGCTACAACTGGACCATCGTGAAAAAAATTATTTTCAAGCATGTAGGCAAAACATTATTACAAACATCCGACTTGCATAAGACTCATAGTTAAGAACAGGGATGTGACACAGGAAGTCAGAGAAATCTGCCCCTAGCAAGGAAAATTAAAACCTGAAAGAGTTACCATGGGGAAAAAGTGTCTCCACTGAAGCTTTTATCACCAATCCTTGTTTCCACAACAAGCCAATTTTTTTTCAAAATCTAATTTTCACAGGGACAGAAAGGGAGGTGAAATCTTCTGAACAGGGGCACAGACAGCAAAACAAACACCACAGTGTTCACTCTTCCCTATGCTATCCAATGCTAAATTTTTTTGTTTGTTTGTACCAAACAGTAAGAGCTGTTTGACAGTGGAATGTAGTGAACCTTCATTAAAGGTGGATAAGTGGATATTCATCTGTTGAGGGTGGTTTGATTTTGTGTTCCTGCATGGCAGTGGGTTGGATTGGATGGCCCTTGTGTTCCCTTTCAACTCTGATTCTATTAACGTATCACTGATAGGGAAAGAGGTCACCCCATGGCATAAACATACTATGCTGATTTTTCTAGGAAGTCAAAATATTTAATTAGTGGCCATTTGCTTACATGCATAAAACAGATACAAAATCCAAATGAGTTCTAAGGAGGGAGTTCAGAGATGACTGTTGAAGAGCTTAAGGTACATAGTATGTAAGTATATAGAAGAAAATATGGTCTTTAAAGCAGAAAAGAATATATCTGTCCCAAATTGTGTAAATCCTTAAAAGTTTACATCAACAGTTTTACCTTGTTTCAGACTAAAAACTCATACTGACCAAACATAATATGCTCAAATTTCCCAGTCAATACAGATATACATCCTTTAATGAAATAGGGGGAAAGGGTTTTACTATTTCTTTAACAGAAATAGAAAAAAAATAGGGTTAGGTTTCTATACCACAAAAAACAAGAGCAATTACTGAAAACATGTTTCAGGGGAGATATGTGTGTGTGTTATGTTTCTCAGACTACCATTGTCGTGTAATTCTGCTTAATAGGTTGCTACCTTCTTACTTCTTAAATAATATCAGTTGTCTGTGACGAGAGGGTTTTACTGCCTGATTAACATATTTGCTGCTATAATAGGACAGATTTTGATGTAATTTTTATTGCAGAGATATTCTCATTCACCAGGACCGCGGTCTCCAAATCGGCACTCTGAAGACAGCATGCAGACCTCTACTAGACTGGGCTTACCAGTTGATAGCCTGAGGGGTTTTAACAGGTATGGTACTCACAAGGTTGCTTTGCAACGATATAGAAAATATGTAGGACACAATATTCCAAGAATATTAATGTTTTATGATAAAGCTGTTTAGCTAGCCTCCCCTCCTTTAATTTAGGTTGGTATTCTCAGTGGAAGTGCATAACTCTTGTGAAGTATGTGGGATAGCTTTTAAGGTAAAATTTCCCAGTGACATTAGTTTGGCAGAATAATAAACATGTAAGTACAGGACTAGTAAAAATCATACAAGAAAGTTATGTGGTATACCGCCTGCAGTCATCAACTTTGCAAGTTGGTATATATTAAAATTAAATAGAAAGTGTGTCTTTAGCTCGTCTTCTGTGTGTATAGCTTTGCAACCATGTATAAACAATATCATTTTTTCATTAAAAATTTGATACTACCCAATAGATGGTACAATCTGATTAAAATAAGACAATAGGTGACAATTTGTAACTTATATATAGTCCCAAAGATTCCTTTCTGCAGTACATCTTCTCTTGTTATAATTAGAGAATCCTATAACTAACTTTTGGAAAGGCATGGCCTTTTAGAGATCATAACCTTTTAGAAAACCAGAATCTCCACAAACTTTTGGAGAAAAATGGTATTCACAACCATTTGAAAGTCATAACCTTTTGTAAAAATATGATCTTTTAGGGAAGAGCCAAAAACTCATTTCAGTAAAATCTTCTCTTCAGTGGTATATAACCACATGTACTTATATACGTAAAGTTGGCTCTCGGCTGTTAGACTGATAACCTTGTTGTCTCTGATGTGTTAGGAACAGAGATTAGGCAAATGCACAAAATATAGCAGTTCTTCAGAAGTGTTTTTCAGTTGCCCAAAACAATTTACTCTCCCATAAAACATCTTGTTTTTATGTAATGTTCTCAAGAAACAAACATAGAAAAGTAATGTCATTAAAAGTAACATATTTGGTTTACTCAGAACCTTCATGTATTCAGCATACAGGCACGTAACTTGTCAATCCAGTTACAAAAAGGTTTTGAAGTGATGTCTATGTGCAGATAACACAGGGCATCTTTCTTATGATCTTAACAGTCTAAAGTCTAAAGCATCTGATAGAGTCTATGCTCTAATGGAATCTGAAATCTAAAATGGAGTCTGAGCTCAGAGTAGTCCCAGATCTGATCATGTTCTCTGCAGCCCCACCCACAACCTCAAGAAACAAAGAGTAAGGAAAACTGCATACCAAAACATACATATACAATACAGTAAGCAAACAGGATCGTATAAAAACAAATTACTAGTGGAGGCTTGAAAAAGGTTGCTGTTTCCAACACTAATGTTCTTGATTGGGGAAATAGAATTCCCAATACAGCTTTAAATGCAATATATTGATAAGCAATGTTGGTGGTAAGGTTTCCAGTCTCCAAAAATTGTTCCAAGAACATAGCAATATGCAGGCTCATCTCCTTTATCTTGGAGAGAGAAGCCATAGAACTAGTTCTCCTAATGAAAGGGTCAACTAATACTACTCATGGAAATATAAAAAGTGAGCAGGGTTCATTGGGTTCTGGATTTCAAAATTTATCAAATTTATGTGAAGTGCAGATGCTTCCATGTACTTCAAGAACGTATTTTTTCCAAAAAAACTCCCTCAATATATCTTTTGGAAGCTTATTTCATGTTAGTGTCTATTTATCATTGTGCAGGCACCTTTGTTTTTGCTACCATGACGTCCACTTTCAAAGCCTTTTGGGTTATCTTTGGCACATCAAATATTCAACATAATTGTCCCAGTGGCCCACCTGAAACTGCATCACTGTACCTGGACAATATCCTCCTAACACTTCACACACTTTAGGTGGGGTGGGGTGGGGTGATAATAAGCCCTGGCAATCACCATGATAGTTCTCCAGAACCATGGCTTTGCAGTCAACAAATAAAACATCAATCTTATCTTAACCCAGAAGGTAGTCTACGTAGGTGTCCTCATAGACACAGGAAAGGGCACATTGCTTCCTCTCCAGAGGGAAACGTCCAAGACAGCAAAACCTTATCCTCTGAATTTACACTGAAACTCACTGGACTGCCCATCTGCACCACTCAGAAAATGGAATATGAGTTATACTTACAGTGAATGTCCCTTTTTGTGGTTCAAAAAAACCCAATCTGTGTCATCCCAGGCTCATGGCTCCATCACTTTGTGAGTTTATAGTTTATCTCTTTATAGTTTGGTTGTTGCTTTTCTCTACATAATTGTAATGAGGGATGTTTTCCCTTTGCTTAATTTTCCAATGTTGTTTTACTGTAATTCTTTTGCATGGCTGTTTGAGAAACTGGCAGCAGGAAATAGATTTTATGAGTTACGTGATTTTTGCCCTTCACATGATTATGATAGACTACTGGGTGGATTGCTTCTCTGAGCCTTCAAGAGCAGACATTATATTAAGGAAAAAGTATTCAGTTTCCTTGAGAGCAACATTGTTTATGGGGAATTAAAGTGGGTTCAGAATAAGAAGTGTTCAGAATAATCAGACCTCTTCAGGTAAATCTGTATTCAGGAGATTATATGCCAAGATCCTCACATTGTAACTTGTGTATCTCTCTCATCAGGGTTAATTTGGCTCATGATCCAGCATCTAGCAGACGTTTTTCATTTCCTAAAAGTCTTAATCGATCTCCTTTGGATGAAAACAAGCCTTTTAGTCATGATGCGGACTATCGCAACAGCCAGCCAGACTATATGGTAAAATATAACCATCTAGCACATCTGTATCCACAACAAGAAGCTGATTTGGATGGTGACCTACTCAAAGCATCCTCAAATTCATCAAAAGATAGAAGACAGGAACATAAACACTTTAATCATGATAAAGATGATAGACTACTTGATGGGACTGTAGACCAAAATGATTTTATACCAGGAGTACAGAAGTACTGTAAACAAAGTTTTAGTAGAAGCCCAAGCCCAGTGGATCTGCATGAACTTGAACTAGATAGGCGAAAAAGAGAAGAGGTACACAGAAATTTGACTCAAGAACTCCCTGGCAATAGCTACAGGTTTCCTGGGCCAGCTAAACCAGTTTGGCCTTCTGAACCTCATCATCTTTATACACCCGAGGAAGCACCAAAGGTGCCAAAAAAATCAATATTGAGGAAACATGAGGGGGATCCCTCTGTGCAGGTTTGTGCTATGTTCTTTTCCTTCTTGGTTGAAGTTTTGTTTCCAGTTTAAACTTGAACTATAATATTTGACTTAATTTCTGTTAATAAATATATTCAGAATGTCACTGCTATGAAATTGATTTGGTTTTAATTGTCATAATTAGTATCTTCAGTTATAGTTATCACCATGAAGACATTTTATATACTTGAAAATTAAATAATAATAATAACAACAACAACAATAGTGAATGTATTGCCCACCTCTTCCTGTGGCTTGAGGCGGGGCACAACACTGTTAAAACAAGAGGTAAAATTTATTTTTTATTTAAATATATAGTTATTTACAGTACTTATATTCTGCCCTTCTCACCCCAAAGGGGACTCAGGGCGGAGCACAGAACACATATATGGTAAATGTTCAATGCCGATTATACAATGACAAAACAGAACAGATAGAAGTATATTTATGTTTTTTCTCATCATTCGGCATTTTTTTGAGGCTGTGCTCAGTTCTAGTCATGGGGGGGGGGGGGGGGGGGGGGGGGGCGGTGTCGCTCCATCTTTTTTCTTTCTTCATAAACTTTCCTCCGAAACGCCTTGCCTAAAATACCTCCCCATTTAATGTGGTTCCTATTCATCTACTCACATAGCTATTTTTTATCTGCTAGGTGGGCGAGGGAGCTGGGCTGAAGGTCAGGAGCTCAATCTGACCTGGCTTCAAACTGTCAACCTTTCAGTTGTCAAGATTTACTACAGCTGTAATTAACCTGTTGTGCTAAAGCCAGCCCACTATTAACCACTATTAAAAGACTTCCAACAAGATACACAGGTTTAAAATACAAGTTAAAATCCACTGATAAAATGTAGATTAAAATTCACAATTTAAAACTGACCAGGTAAGCCTGTCATCTCTTCTGACAACTGTGTCTTAAATTCTAACAGCTGATCTAGCAATCAGAGCTTTTCTGGCAGGTCATTCCACAGTGTTGGGGCAGCCTATGAAAAGCTCCTCTGAGTGAGAGTTGCCAGTTGGGTTCTGGCAGGCTGGAGTAGACGTCCCTCAGACAACCTAAGTGTTCAGGGTGGATTGTATGGGAGAAGGCAATCCTGGAAATAATCTGGACTCAAACCATGTAAGACTTTAAAGATCAAAACCAACACTTTGTACTTTGTCCGGAAACTAATTAGCAACCAGTGGAGTGACTTTAGTATAGGTGTAATATGCTCACTCCTGGCTGCTGTGTTTTAAACCAGCTGGAGTTTCCAAACTTGGTACAATGGTAGCAGAGTAAAGCGCATTGCAGAAGTCCAACCTTGAGGTTACCAGCTCGTGCACTTCTATCTTCAGGTCCTCAGATTCTATGAATGGGAGCAGATGGAGTATCAAAATTATTGACCCATTTTGTTCTCAAGAAATTTTTGGAAGTGACAAAGTCATCCTATAGAAAGGTGCAATTTGTTTTGTTTGTTTATATATAGTTTTTCACCACCCGTTTTGTGTTTGTAAATGATAAAGTCAGCAAATCAAACAATTTCTAATGTCTTGCAATACAAAGGTGAACCTTTCAGGATTTTATTTTGACAAGTTTTGTTCAGAAGGGGGTTGCCACTGCCTTACTTTGAGGATGAGCAAGTGGAACTTTTTAAAAATCACTTAGTGGGCTTCCAAAGCCAAATGCAGATTCAGTGTTTTGCCAAGACTCAAACCATGTACTATATTGACTCAAGAACAGCAATTCAAAGTGATAAAATCATATATACAGTATTTTCAAAATTTAATAAAAAGGGATAATAAAAATAATCATATTTAAAATAACAAGAAAAAGTGTCTACCCCAGGTGGAAGATCTTTGTCATATGCAAAAACAAACAAACAAAAACATACAGCCAAAGAGAGCAAATATTTGCAGCATTTTGGTGTAGTGGTTGATGTCCATTGGAAGCTAAGCATAGAATCACATTGGAGGCCCTAAGAGTCCTGGAGAAAACAATTTCATCATATGTATGAATACTCAAATCCAAAAAAAGTCCAGACTAAACATGGAGGGCTGATTATAATAACAAACAACAATTTCTTTTTTTCTTTTAGATTGACTTTTTTGTAACAGTAATGTAAGCAACCCTGTTTCTTACAAATCCTTCTCTTTTGCCATAGCCTTGCAGCACTGATATTTCATTGGATGCAGAAATTGTTTTGAAACAGAACAAAGATTGTGAGTCAACTTCGGGGCCTGCTGATCAACAGAATGATTTCTTTCTCCCTCATGAAAGAGCCAGCCAGGATGGGAATGGCTTCTCGTGCGTTTTGGGCACTATGGCAGATTCTACCAGTGCTCAAGAAAAAAGAAAGCACAGTTTGCATGATCACATTGAAGATAAAGAGAAAATTGTTTATGATTATGGTCATAAGAATGACTCTCACATTAACTCTTTCTGTGCTCAGAAGTTAACACTGGCTGTGGCAGAAAAAACTGCCACAGTGAAACAAAAAGTAACCTCTTTGTCTCTTCCTAGTTCTTTTGTTAAAACAGGCACTTCAGAAAAGTCCCAGCAAGAATATGAGAAGATCCAGGACTTGCTCAAAACCATTGGTCTTGATATTGGATTAACGGAAATTGGTAAGCTTGCTGCCCGCACTCAGGAACGACTCCATGGGAAAAACACATCTCGTTCATCTGATCGCCATACGGTGGCATTTCATAAACCAGAATCCCGGGAGAAGCATCAAAGTAGAAGTGATTCTAAATCCTGGGAGAAGCATCAAAGTCGAAGTGACACTGATTCTAAATCCTGGGAGAAGCATCGAAGTCGAAGTGACACTGATTCTAAATCCCGGGAGAAGCATCAAAGTCGAAGTGACAGTGATTCTAAATCCCAGGAGAAACATCAAAGTCGAAGTGACAGTGATTCTAAATCCCGGGAGAAGCATCGAAGTAGAAGTGACAGTGATTCTAAATCCCGGGAGAAGCATCAAAGTAGAAGTGACGCTGATTCTAAATCCCGGGAGAAGCATCAAAGTCGAAGTGACAGTGATTCTAAATCCCGGGAGAAGCATCAAAGTCGAAGTGACAGTGATTCTAAATCCCGGGAGAAGCATCGAAGTAGAAGTGACACTGATTCTAAATTCCGGGAGAAGCATCAAAGTAGAAGTGACAGTGATTCCGAATCCCAGGAGAAGCATCAAAGTAGAAGTGACACTGATTCCCCAGAACCAAAGCGAAAATACTCTCTTTCCCCTCCTGGTTCTTCCTCACCATCTAAAGATACATTTTCCGATTACAATAAAAGGAAAACTGTAGGACGAGATAATCCTTTTGGCACAATACCTGCACTCCCACCAGCTCTAACTTGTCTTTCTAATTTGTCTCCTTCTCCTACTTCATTTTCTTGGTACAACGTTCCATACATCACACCATTTGGTGCAGCTCAGTTACCTCAAAACTGTACAGTTCCCACAGTTCCCCCTAGCTATATTCCATATGGACAATATGTGACTTATGGAGCTCCTGGCTGGCCCATGTATGCTCAGCAGGGTGATCCTGCACTTCCAGCCCTGCATGCATTTCATACACCAATGACGCCAGCGTATGGTTCACAACCCAAGTTCAAGGCAATTGAGGATATTTCCACAGACAAACAGTCTCTGTGTAATGACTTAGATGACTCTGTTCTTGAGGAAATCTCTGGTACTGCTCCAAACTCTGAATTGTCCTCTCAGTTGTCTCCACTTACTCTCAAATCTGCCAAAGAAAAACTATCTGATGAACAAAATCGAGTTTCGCAGAGGCAAAAGGTGAGAGTTTTTTTATTTGTATTGAGAAATGTTTGCTTATAACACGCACTCGACTCTGTAGACAAAAATGTTTATAGCTATGTTTGTTTTTTAGTCTTTCCCCCTCTTTCAGTATAATAGAACAATTGAATTGTCTCCAGTGAGAAATGGATTTATGGATTGTCTCCTTGTTCCTTCATACTACAAAGCACTTTAGTGTTTAAATATATTGTGTGATTGCTCTTCCATGTAATTCCCTTAACCCGTAATGGTATATACTGCCTACTAAGTGGTGAAAATCTTAGTTAAGAATTGTTGATCATCTACATATTCATAGCAGAGAGTTCTTTGTTGTGATGCTAGTTAGAGAATAGCCTTCCCTTGGAGGTCGGATTAGCACCAGTGCTTTTGTCATTCTAACACCAAGTGAAATGGAGATCTGCTAAAGCTTTGGGGGCCTAATTGGTTTTATAAAAACCTCATGAGTAGATGATTTAGAACAGTGTAAAATTGTTTTGGCCATTTTAAATCTGTATTTTAACCTTTATTTATAGTTTGTGTTTTTAACTTTTGTACGATGTCAGTGTTAGGCTGTATCTGTTTTACCTTTTGTAAGTCACCTTGAATTTCAAATTTGGAAAAAAGCAATGATTGTGATTTTGAGTAACAAAACAATAACATCAGTGTCAGACAATCTTTATTAAACCAGGGCTGAATAAGATCTGGAAGTCTGGGGCCATGTTTCTATTAAGGTTAAGATGGCGACACGCTAGCAGCAACCTTTCCACTTGGGTGGGACGAGAAACCTGAATCCGAGGTAAATCGAAGCCATCCACCCTCATTCTGATCCCCTTTCACCGGCTCCTTGATCGGCGACACCTCAGGACCCCGAAGGGGGCCTTGAGGAGTTGACTGGACAGGAGACCAGGGAGGAAGGGGTAAAAGAGGGAGAGGAAGGAGGTAGAGCGAAGGCCACCACCATCACTACCAACTCGGCCTGAGAACGCTCCCTTCTAATTGCTTCGTGGACATCCGGATTGCTGGACTTACCCAACTACCAACTGCAGACTGGCTGTTGCAGCCCTTGGAGGCGCTCGGTGGGTGAGTGTGAACTCTTGGGCCTCCCTCCTCCGAGCTTGGCCTGGGCGATCCTGAGGTTGGCTGCGAGGTATGCCGGCGCCGGAGCGAGTCGCTGGGGCTTCATCTGCTTCATCTGCTCACTAGACCGTGCGGTTGAGGCTGCCTGTGAACGGCTGGCCTGCTGAGGCCTACGAGTCGCCGGACTATCATCTTCTGCTCTGTCTTCTGCCCGGCACGCTCCCTGGCAGCACTGCGGTGGCCGCGTGGGATCCTTCCGCGCGGCCGAGTCACGATTCTGCCGCGATCCTGCCGCGTTCCGGCTGGGAGCTGCTTCTGCGCCCGGCGCCTCCATTTTCTTTTCTTCCATTCTTGGTGGGGGCTCCGGGGTGACCCGACTGGATTACACGCGCCGGTGCTACAACTCCTCCGTGCCCTAAGGGGGCGCCACCTCCGCACTTCCATCCTCGTAACGGAGGCCCCGGAAGTGACCCGGCCGGGCTCCTCAGCGCATCTCGAGTGACGTCATCTCTGCGCCTTTAAGAAACGCCACCTCCGCATTCTACATCTGGCGGAGGCCCCAGGAGCGGCGTCCCTGTTGCCAGAGAGAGCCGACAGAACCTAATCATCTCCCCTTCCAGCTGCAATTTGTCATTAAAGAGCACCGTCACCTTAGAGCTACTGGTCCATCTCCCGGTGGACTGAACTGTTAACACAACTGCTGTTACAGAACTGCCATCAGCCACCATCATTGAATTGTCATCTATTGTGTTACTGCCTCCAATTCCGGAAGAAACGTGAACTAACTCAACATCAGATTTTGGGCATTGTGGCAATCCTTACTTCGCATTCTACTGTTTCCTTTAAGATCTGCCCCTACCCCTGGGACCGATGTATTGGGGGGAGGGGGGCCAAATGAGAATTAAGATTGACCAACGAGACTGATAACTGACTAAACAACTACTGTTATTGCACTGTTAATACGACCGTCTTGACCAAACGCTGGTAACTCTCCTTGGCCCAGCACTTTAACCATCAAGCACTTTAAACTCGAGCACTTTAATACTACCAAGCCCCATCTCAGCATTGTAGTTAACGCTAGTTAACGTGATAGCTTAGTGCACTTTAGCAATTTTTGACTTTAACAACTAGCACTTTAACAACTAGCACTTTAATACCTGCTACCACTTTGTATTCCAGTGACCTATACCAACCCTGTACCAACGCTGCTCACCTATGTCGCCTTTCATTCCTTGGTACCTACTAACAGTATTACTGGTGGGTTGGGAAGAGAACGGAAGGTGGAGCGGGTGGAAGGAGAAAGAGTGGAATGAAGTAGCATGGCAAAAGGGGAAATTAACGCAGCGAACAATCTGGATTAAAACATGGGATGAAGTTATGAACTCGAAGTGCAATATGGAAGAAGAGAGGTATTCCACTAGCCGAGGGGTCCCCATAGAAACCATAACGGGGAGGGGGAGATGCAGGAAAGGGAGACCGCCAATTCGGCCTAGAGATAGTGAAAACTTAACCCAAATTCGGCCTAGGGAAAGAGGAAGAAATTTAACCATTTGTAATCGGTCTCCTGACATGGTAAGCCGGGGTACCCAGGATGGCGGCCCCTCTGGGTTGAAGATGGTGCTGCTGAACGCCAGATCTGTCAACGGCAAAACATCCTTCATACAAGACCTAATTCTTGAAGAACAGGCAGATCTGGCGTGCATTACGGAGACCTGGCTGGACGAAGCTGGAGGAGTAAATTTGACCCAGCTTTGTCCTCCAGGGTTCTCCGTACAGCACCAATCGAGACCTGGAGGGCGGGGAGGCGGAGTTGCGGTAGTCTATAAAAATTCAATCCCTCTGACCAGAGGCCCCATCCCGCAGTCAACTAACTTTGAATGTGTCCACCTGAGGGTGGGTGACCGAGACAGAATAGGGATTCTGTTAGTGTACCGCCCACCTCGCTGCACTACGGTCTCCCTACCAGAGCTAGCAGGGGAGGTCTCGAGCCTGGCATTGAAGTCCCAGCGGCTCCTTGTGCTGGGGGACTTCAATGTACACGCCGAGACTACCCTAGGAGGAGCGGCTCAGGACTTCATGTATTCCATGGCAACCATGGGGCTGTCCCAACGAGTATCTGGCCCCACACACAGTGCTGGACACACATTGGATTTGGTTTTCTGCCAGGGATGGGAGCAAGGTGGCAGTGTTGAGGAGTTGTCCATCTCTCCGTTGCCATGGACCGACCACTATCTGGTCAGCTTTAGACTCACTGCACCTCCCAACCTCTGCAGAGATGGGGGACCCATTAAGTTGGTCCGCCCCAGGAGGCTAATGGATCTGAATGGATTCCTGACGGCTCTTGGGGATTTCCCCGCCACCTCGGTTGGTGATTCTGTTGATGCCCTGGTATCCCTCTGGAACGGGGGAATGACTAGGGCAATAAACACGATTGCTCCAGAACGTCCCCTCTCAAGCAGCCGAGCTAAACCAGCGCCTTGGTTCAACGAGGAACTGGCAGCGATGAAGCGAAGTAAGAGGAGACTAGAGCGCGTGTGGCGTTCGGACCCGAGCGAGTTAAATCGAACACGGTATATCACCTTTCTTAGGGCATATGCCGCGGCAATAAAGGCAGCAAAGAAATCTTTCTTTGCTGCCAATATTGCGTCCGCAAAGAACCGTCCGGCTGAGCTGTTTCGAGTTGTCAGAGGTCTATTAAATCCCACCACTCCGGATGGGAACCCTGACAACTCGACGGCCCGCTGTGAAGCATTTGCTCGGTTCTTTGCGGACAAAGTCGCTTTGATCCGTTCTGACCTGGACACCATGTTAACGGCAGTCTCAGAGGATGTAACACGAGCATCTGCTTGTCCGATTTTGTTGGATTCATTTCAATTGGTGAAACCTGAGGATGTGGACAAGATACTTGGAGGAATGAGGGCAACCACATGCATCCTAGACCCCTGCCCATCCTGGCTTCTAAAGGAGGCCAGAGGGGGATTGGCCGAGTGGGTGAAGGTGGTGGTTAATGCCTCCCTTCGGGAGGGCAAAATTCCAGCCATCTTAAAACAAGCTGTGATAAAACCGCTGTTGAAAAAACCATCACTGGATCCCACTCAATTCGTCAACTATCGGCCTGTTTCCAATCTTCCCTTTTTGGCAAAGTCCTGGAACGTGTGGTGGCCTCACAACTCCAGGTATTCTTGGTAGACACTGATTATCTAGATCCGGCACAGTCTGGCTTCAGGCCGGGACATGGTACCGAGACAGCCTTGGTCGCCTTAGTGGATGATCTGCGCAGGGAGCTAGACAGGGGGAGTGTGTCCCTGTTAGTTCTGCTGGACCTCTCAGCGGCCTTCAATACCGTCGACCACGGTATCCTTCTGAGGCGCCTCTCGGGAATGGGCCTTGGAGGCACTGTTCTGCAGTGGCTCCGGTCCTTCCTAGAAGGTCGATCTCAGAAGGTGTTATTGGGAGACATCTGTTTAACCCCACAACCATTGTCTTGTGAAGTTCCTCAGGGTTCAATATTGCCTCCCATGTTGTTTAACATCTACATGAAGCCGCTGGGAGAGATCATCTGGAGTTTCGGGGTGCGGTGTTATCTGTACGCAGATGACGTCCAACTCTGTCACTCCTTTCCACCTACTACTAAGGAGGCTGTTCAGGTCCTGAACCGGTGCTTGGCCGCTGTATCGGACTGGATGAGGGCGAACAAATTGAAACTGAATCCAGACAAGACAGAGGCACTCCTGGTCAGTCGAAAGGCCGAACAGGGCTATAGCCTGTGTTAGATGGGGTTACACTCCCCCTGAAGACGCAGGTTCGCAGCTTGGGAGTGATCCTGGACTCATCGCTGAGCCTGGAACCCCAGGTCTCAGCGGTGACCGGGAGAGCTTTTGCACAATTAAAACTTGTGCGCCAGTTGGCCACGGTAGTCCACGCTCTGGTTACATCCCGTATTGATTACTGCAACGCGCTCTACGTGGGGTTGCCCTTGAAGACTGCCCGGAAGCTTCAGATGGTCCAGCGCTTGGCAGCCAGGTTGCTAACGGGAGCGGCACTCAGGGAGCATACCACTCCTCTGTTGAGCCAGCTCCACTGGCTGCCAATCCGCTACCGGCACAATTCAAGGTGCTGGCTTTAGCCTATAAAGCCCTAAACGGTTCTGGCCCCACTTACCTCTCCGAACGCATCTCCACCTATGAACCGACTAGGACATTAAGATCGTCTGGGGAGGCCCTGCTCTCGGTCCCGCCTGCGTCACAGGCGCGCTTGGCGGGGACAAGAGACAGGGCCTTCTCAGTGGTGGCCCCTCGGCTATGGAATGCCTTACCGGCAGACAGGCACCTTCGTAGCTGGCGTTTCGGAGAAAGGTTAAGACCTGGCTTTATGAACAAGCGTTTGGTTAAGCAGTGCAACCAATCAAAGGAAGACGGTAAATGGAACATAGGAATGGCACAAGGATTATGAGAACGGATCTGATTTCACTGAGGCGTTATGTTTTGTTTTGTTGACTTGTCTTGTTTTGATTTGTTAATTGTTGTGGATTGATGTTGTTGATCCTGTTTGTTGCATTTGTTGCGTTTTAATTGCACTGACATTGTTTGATAATTTGTACCATGTAAACCGCATTGAGTCGCCTGTTTGGGCTGAAAAATGCTGTATAGAAATAAAGCAAATAAATAAAAAATAAAAAAAAAAATATTAATTATTGGTGGAGTTATAGGCCAGGAAAATCATTCCAAAGACATGTGGCAGATAGAATTGGTAACAGGAGTTAAATTACTCAGTACTTGGAAGGGCTGGACAAAGGACAATATGTCAGAGGGATGCAATATCTGAAGGTGTCACCAGAGATAATCAGAGAAGGGCAATATATAAAAAGACAGACCATGTGCTTGATTTTTCTCTTTTGCCATGATCACCTCTCAATAAGTAATTGTAAATAGTTAAGTTTGGAAAAAATAAAACGTTTGCCGCCAAGAGCTCTTGGCGGAAAAACAGTTACAAACAGTGGTTTTCAACCTATGAATCCCCAGATGTTTTGGCCTTCAACTCCCAGAAATTCTAACAGCTGGTAAACTGGCTGGGATTTCTGGGAGTTGTAAGCCAAAATACTTGGGGATTCACAGTTTAAGTTCCACTGAGTTACAGGGTGCTTGTTTAATTACAACAGGGAGGCAGAAAGAGCAAATAAGGCACAGTAGTTTTTAAAGTGCACGTCTCAGATAACATTCAGGATCTGGAGGCTGCAGAATCCATGGGTCGGCGTGAATCCCAAGTGTCTTTTTGGAGACCCCCAAAAGTTTCTGTTTCTAGGATCTACCACAACATGGGTCACAACAGCTTCTGAAACAAGTCATGTGGTCAGGAGTTTATGTCAGATTTTGTATAAGGTCAGCACAGAGGGGTGGAGGTCTTGTGTACCTTTCAATAATACAGAATTATTGTTTGGGTTGAAGGGAGGACTTACAAAAAGAGAAATGGTTGGCTGTTGACTCAGTTTTTCTTGGCTGAAGAAACTTCAAGAGACAGGGCTGTAAAAGTGGCTTGGGGCCTACATATGCAGTACATTGGCTACAGAAATCTACAAATCCTTCGAACCAAATGGGTTTTTGTATTGTTCAATTTTGCTGATTTTTTAGGAAAAAATTGTTTTAATGCTTTTAATTTTACGGGTAATCTACTTGCTTTTTAATAATAATTTATATGTCTGTCTTTTATGGTCCCATGATTGCTTTAAACATATGTGTTCTATTTTTTGTAAACTGACTTGAATCTTAGTATCGAGGAAAAGTTGGGACATGAATGAATTAAATTGTATTTATTACAATATAATAGATTATGGCCACAGTTTAACACAGTTTTACATCGGCTTCAGTCTATTTTCAAACCTGATTTATTCTGTTGTGTAGTCTTTGTGTCTCCTCCTTGTTTGACTTGCTTATTTTTTAATAGAAAATCCCAACAAGTTTCTTAAAGATAATCACACATTTTATGACAGGAATGTTATATAATGTTAGCGAAGAACTTGCAAGAAATGAGTGACTCTTTATGATCAGGAGGACACACAGGAAGTTAACCACAGTGGCTTTTGCAGTGTTTGGCTATGGTCAATGAAAAGATTTAGTTTAATTCTGCTGTTTCTTTCATAACCTTTTCAGGTTAAACAGGAAATAGAAAAGTTGAAGAGTGACCAAGACGCTTGGCAAAAACAACTGTTTTATTTGAAAATTGAGTTTAACAGGCTTTCAAGACTAAGAGGTAGTGTCTCCTTTCATTTTTACACTCCATTTTCATTGATAATCATGATTGCTATTACACAATGTACTTGAATTACTTGGATTACACTAGGTATGTTACACATTTTTTGTTCCTGGGATATAAACGCCATTTTCTAATTGGTTCTGTCATAAAAACATGGAAAAAGTTTATTAAACTGCAAAAACTTTGTTTTTGTGGGACATCCTGCAGCACATTTTGCTATAGTATTTCAATGAATATCTCATAGAGTCTCAACCAATTCAACATAGCTTGTGGCAGCCACAAAAATGAAGTTTCTTGAGAACAGCAATTACTTTTAAAGTAAATGCTGCACAATTAAACAGGAAATACCATTTTCAAACCAGGAACAGAACTTTTTTGAATGATGTTACATTACATTATTTTTATGTGCTGCCTGTCCTAAGCATTACAAGATTTTTCCTAAATGGGGAAGAAAATAGGATTCATCAGATATCTCAATAGGAACCTTTTGTCAGTAATGCACACACAGGTTCTGGCATTTGGGCTTGATAGGTTATTATCTAACAATTTAAATTATTTTAATTTTTTGTTATGTCTTAACACATTTTTCTTGTACGTCCTGCTTTGTCACTTTGACTGGTGTAGACAAGATGTTCCGTAAAAGTAAAAAGAAAAATCCGTTGTTCGTGGAAGTGGTTCACAAGCGAAACAGTATTGAGGTGGAGGTTGCTGACTTGACAATCAGAGTCAGTGCTGCAGAGGAGAAAAAATGTGAGCTTGACAAGGTAGCTCAGATCTTAGGAATCAACATTTTTGAGAAATCTTGGAAACCGTCTTCAGAAAGGAGAGAGTCCTCAGAAAAGTATGACTGAAGACACAAAAAACAAGGAGAGGATTCCTAGTCCATTCAAGGTAACATTCTGGGTGTTGATATTAAGTACCATATATACTTGAGTATAAGTACAAAAACCTGGGAAAAGCATTGACTCAAGAATAAGTCGAAGGTAGGAAATGCAGCAGCTACTAGCAAATTTCAAAATAAAAATAAATACCAACACAGTTACATTAATGGAGGCATCAGTAGGTTAAATGTTTTTGAATATTTGCATAAAACTGTAAGATAAGACTGCCCAAATCTGATTAAACTATTATTCTAACCTTCAATGTAAATAGTAGAGTAAAATAATAAATGTAATAACAATAATAGAGAAAAATAATAAATATAATAATAGAGTAAAATATTAAATGTAATAAAAAATAATAGAGTAAAATAATGTAAACGTAATAATAATAATAATAATAAGAAGAAGAAGAAGAAGAAGAAGAAATAGAGTAAAATAATAAATGTTGAGAAGCGGGAGGGCTTTTTCAGTCTTACAAAAGGGCTGAAAAACTCGGCTTATACTGTACACAAATGGTTATTTTGTATCATATCTTAGCTAGGGTAAAAACAAACCATCCTCTTGCTTATGCAGCTCTTGTGTTTCACTTTGTGCAGCAGACACACTGGTAATCTTCTATAAACTCTGTAGTTTGCCTTTTTTTGGAGTAGAGAAACTGGATAGTTTCAAACGTGCCAAGATATTAAACTGCAGTTTCAGGTGTATTTGATAACAAAGCTTGAATCAAAGCTAATAATCTGAAGGTGAAACCAAATGGCCTGTTTCTACTCTTGGAATGGCATCTACTGACAGAGCAGATTACCTTCAGCCTCCCCTTGTCTTCTGTGAATAGTTCAGGTATCCCTAGAGTAAATTTTGCAGTGCAGAGGGACTGAGAGAGAAAAGCTCACGTACTGCACAAGGAAAAGTCATCTTGAGCAGTTTTAGATGTATCTCATAATTCTGTGCCTTGGATGATATAGGAAATTACAATTAAATGAAGAAATGCTGTTTGGTTTGTCAGCTTTTGTGGAGGGCCAGTATGATGTGCAAGGGAAGAAAACATGGTGCTGCTCTTCTTAGGTTGAACCACCATCATGATCCAAAGATTAGTAAAAGTTATTGCCAAATAAATAGCTAAGTGATTGCAATCTATCATATTTTGTTCTGCTTCTTTTTCTCTTAGTCTACTAATAGGCTAGTATCAGTGAAAATAATTTTGAAAATGCCGTAAAATAAAATGAAGCTAGTAATTTACCCAGTAATGTAACAAGAAAATACACAGCAATTTTGTGGGTAATTGTTTTGAATAGAGTTTAAAGAAGATAGGAATAAATTTTAATGTAGGAAAATTGTCGAACAAAATACATACGCATACACTTTCTTGTGTTGTGAAATGTTAGTGGACTACAATTTTGAACTTGTGGGATTTTAATTGCTGTTTTAAAAAATTATGTTTTATTGCTAGTTTTAATTGTAATATTTTTAGAATTTGTTTGTTGTTGGGCATCGAATTGCTGCGGGTTGTGAGGCCGCCCTGAGTCCCCTTTGGGGTGAAAAGGGCGGGGTACAAGTATGGGAAATAAAATAATAATACACATAGTGATGCTTGAACATGATAAAAACAGTTAAGGGAATGTGCTGTTTAAATATTCTTTTTTAAAAAATTATTTTTCTTCAGTCATAAGAAGACAGCCAGAGAAGAGACAAATGCAGCAGAAGCAAAGACTTTAAAAGTTTGTGCACCTCACTTGACCTGATTCCGATACATCTTTTAGCAGATGTGGTAAGATTCTTGAGGTCAAGACTAAGCTTCATGAAGCTCCATAAAACAGCCTTTCATTACTGTTATGATCCTAATCTTGTATATATTTTCATGTTGTTTTGATGTTTAAAGAAAAGTAAAACTGTTGTTAACAAATTCTGTCTCATGAATCTTTGATGAATAAAAAATTTCAATACATCACCTCTGCCAAATCCGTAAGAACTGACATATTTTCATAAATAATATGGCCACTTTTATTTTCCTGATCTACTTATGGTTAATTTATAGCAGGAGTTATCTAAAACTCCCATGTCTCAGACACTTTCTTAGCCAGTTAAAGTAAGAAGCATATTCTTCAGTTTTTGTGGTGGATTAGCAAAGACTTCCAAGGATTGGGACCAATGTATGTAAAATGTAGTAATGGAAGCTTCTTTTAAAGTTGTTTACACAGTGGGCGAGTTTCTCCTGCGTATTGTGTTGCCCTACAGGGTACCTAGAAGGATGCTATGCTCTCATATAGTGTCATCCTGAGAATGCATTGTAAAGTAACAAAGATTATTTGATTTGATTTTGATCACCAAGGTGATAAACATGACTGCCCTTCTGAAAACAGATACCGTATCTCATCGCATAAAAGTCACACTTGTAATCACTTTTTTAAATAAAAAAGGGGGAGTGTAACTATTACATGATAAAAAATCTGCCTTTGATGCTTTCTGTTTTTTAAAAAATTAACTTCTTTATCTCCAAAATGGAAGGAGGAGGTATGATCCAGCTTCAAACAAACAGCCTCATTTATGTTTATTTGTTTTTTTTAACTGTTTTGCCTTTGGAGAAAGGATAGAAGAGCAGAGCTCCAGAAACTCACAGTTTTAAATGACCTTGCTTTTGGAGAAAGAAGGAAGGAAGGCAGTGGGAAATCAGCTCCAAACAGCTCTATGACTATTACGTGAAAAACACAAAAATACCAAATTAGACACCCAAAAAAATGGGTGTAACTATTACATGGTGGTAACTATTATGCAGTGAAACCTATGTGTCCTTGCCCAGATGCATTGTTGGCCCTCGAGAAAAGTCAGAGGCCTACAATCACTTTTGCCACAGCAACAAAAATGCCTTTAGAAAGATTTCGGAAATTTAGAAGCACTCCTGCTTTGCTGTCTGAGACCCAGCAATTTTAGTAAGTAGTTAATTTCAAAACAGTCAGCACAGGTTTAATCTAACCACTGGTCTGTGTTTAAATTCACATATAAAAGGTTTAGGTTCTCCTAATATAGTGTACATTTTCGATGTCATAACTGGAGAATAGGGTCCAAACCAAGTTTTGTTGTAATTATATAATCTATGAAGAGGCTTTTTAGTTTGAAAACTCTGTAGCTTAATAGCCATAGCGCGTTCAACCTTAACTTGCATGGATATTCCTGTATGGATTTATGTGCAAAACCGGAAATATTAATTCCATAAACTAGGGTGAGACCTATTAAATGTTGTAGTTCCTGAATAACTTGATATAGCTACTGTATACTGTACCCCCAAGCACACAAGTATTGGATATTGTCAAATCAGTGTAACACAATAACTGCCGTTATTATCAGAATCTGATAATAAATTACTCTTACAGCCTGGGATTATACATCAAGGCAATATAGCATTCAATCTATATTTGCTACTCTGATAAATAATCAAGCACATATTAATAATTTTGTAAACTTGTAAATAATACTTTTCAGATTTCGATTATTTGGCCATTTAGGAAAACAAAATGACAGGAAAAATGTCTCAGGGAAAAGGAAGGCTCTCTTCCAAAAAAAAAGTTTTTTGTACTTTTGTTTTGGGGCATACTGGGATATGTTTTATTATTTATTTATTTATTTACCCTATTTATACCCCACCTTTCTCTACTCCAAGGGGGACTCAAGGCGGTTTACATGTGGCAGTATATTCAATGCTTTAAACACATACAACATTAAATTTAAAATCCATTGAATTAAAATTAATACATACTAAAAATACACTCACATAATTTCTTCATCATTATTACTTGGGGTCTCAGACAGAACTAACAGATTTGAGTTCGGTAGAAAACTCGAGTTCATTGAATTAAGTGGAGTTTATTTGAGGATAACTATGCATAAGAATGACTGCTGATGAAACAAGTAGACATCATGACTAGATTGATTGAAAAGGGATTTTGTATTGAAGAAATCACGTGAACTCTTTGTAATCTCCTTTTAGATTTTAATCATTTTTTGTTTCTGAATTCTAGAGAATTGAATGTATCATTAAACATGTGTAGTCTACACAAATCACTGCATAATGTAACTGGAAAAATATAGCCCAGATACTGTATGCACTCTTTCTAATTTACTCCAACTCTAGACATCAAAAATAATTATGATGTATCATTAATTTTACCATGCTGACTATTGGATATTTGTCTAAAGAAAGAAGTGGTTATAGAATCCATACCCAGATAACTGCCTAACTCTCTCTTCAGTTTGTGGTCAAAAAGCTCTGCATATATGATGGATTAAATAAGTTCTTCTGAAAATGTATGGCTTCTGTTTGCTTATAAAGATCTGATGTCAGTATTGATTGCCTGTTTTTTGTTTTTAAAAAAGGAAATCCCTTACCTCTACAAACTAAAATATCTCTTCCATGAATATAAGGTGTTACATAATGCAAGTAGATGAGTAAAAAACATGTCACATCATCGTCCCAATATACTGAAAACTGGAATTTTAAAAACTGTTTTTGTCTTCTCAGTTGAACAATGCTAGCAGTTAACATTGGGAAATGGCAGAAAATGCTTGTGACGATGTGTAAATTTTATTCCTTTGGTTATGTGTAGTTTGGACAATGGTTTAGGGATGGTAAGTATGGGAGGTTATGTTTTGTGGGAGTGGCTTGATGTTAGCTAAGTTGCCATAGCAACAGGGGCGGAGCCAACCGCCTCTTCAGAGGCAGCTGTGTTTTAAAAAGTCCAGTCAGTGGCCGGAGAGCTACTGAGAAAACACTGAATCTTTTGGTGGAGATTCAGGGAATGTGTCTGTAGCCAGTGTGCTATAGGGAAAAACTGAATCTCTTAGAGATTCAGGGAATCAATTGGTGACCAAAGTGGTTGCAGAGAAGGACCCGGTACTGGGGGTTGTTGATTCTAAATTAAGAATCAAGGTTTGGCTGGGTTTAAGCCTGTTGTGCCAGCTGTGAAACCTTATGAAGTGTTTGCCTGAGTTTACTCATGAAACCTTTCCAATGTAACCATCAAGATTTATGCCTCTTTTGAAGAACAGTTATACATTGTTATACTCCTGTTAAAATAAACTTGTTACTTTTTCCTCAAGCCTTGCCTGATACAGTTTCTTCTAAGTTGAACAGCCTGCAATAATAAAGTCAGCCAGAAACAGTCCCTTTATAAAATAGTTCCTAGGCTGATATTGATCGTTGCCCGGCTTCTCTCATAGATAAGGTGGCAGTGGGTGTTTTACCACTCGCACCTTCACAATTGGTGGTATTCGGTGGCATTAAAACGGTCATCGTTACAATTGGTGGCAGCAGTTTAATAACGGACCTCCTTCACAATGCTAAACTGAAAAAAATATACTATTTGTTCACGAAGCAGCTAAAAAGACCTCTCTTTCAATTGGTATGTATGGTTTGTTTGTAAATTGAAGATTTGCATATTTGGACTTCCAGTAGATTTGTTACCGCAAGTGGAAGCCAAATCTCTATATACAACAATAGAAGATAACTGAACATTTAAACCATTCAAACTTAGAAAGAAGACTGTATTATTTGCTTTATATGAACACCTTGCTGCTACATCCTCATTCTATAGGCAGTGCTGCTACTGGATTTGTTATCAGTCTGTATCACATGGAAGTTTAACAAAAAATAACTCCTAGGCCATAGTTTACTCTAAATAACCATAGTCTAAAGCAAGGGTAAAGAAATTGCAGCCTCCTCAGTCTCCCCTTCCCCAATATATAAATGGGGAACCTTGGGAAAACCCCTAAAATCATTTCCACCTACCTTCTTTAATTGTATTTCTGTCAAAGTGGTAACTAGAAGTGATGGGTAGTGCTGATAGAGAAGGTCTCTGGGCATTATCAGGGGCACTCCACAAAGGAATTGGGGTAAAAACTGACCCCCAAACCCCACACAGCTGTCCATCCTAAAGCAAAACAGAAGGATCACTTGATTTAGAAGCTTTTATAGAGCTTTAATCCAGTCATATCTAATGCTGTTGTGTTTCCAAATTGTTATAATTTGGAATTAAAGGGTGATGTTTTGATGAAGATAATCACATAAAAAAGAAAAATAACAATGTTAATTGTTCTAGGTTTGAGGTGATACTGGTTATATGAAAGACGTAATTTCACAATTGCACCTTTACAGCAAAGTTAATTGGGTTGCTGTGAGTTTTTATTTATTTATTTATTTATTTACTTTGCTTATATACCGCTGTATCTCAAGCCCGAAGGCGACTCACGGCGGTTCACAAACAGTAAAAACAGTAGAAACAGCAGTGGTTCCATACAACATATAACAATTGACTTAACACATTATCCATAAATTACCAATGAGCAATTACAATGCACAATTATTACGAAAAACAACCGTACCCAATCTTCTCATCATCCAAGCGTAGTCCAGGTTCGTCGTCCATTGTTCCATTCCTATGTTCCATTACCAGATTGCACTAAATTACTCAAACGCCTGCACAAACATCCAGGTCTTCACCTTTTTGCGGAATACCATTAGAGACGGTGCTAGTCTAATGTCCGTAGGAAGGGCGTTCCACAGCCGAGGAGCCACCACCGAGAAGGCCCTATCTCTCGTCCCCGCCAGCCGAGCTTGAGAAGCAGGCGGGATCGAGAGCAGGGTCTCCCCGGAAGATCTCAAAGTCCTGGTGGGTTCATAGGCAGAGATGCGGTCGGATAGGTAGCTTGGGCCGGAACCGTTTAGGGCTTTAAAGGCCAACGCCAGCACTTTGAATTCAGCCCGGTAGCAGATCGGTAGCCAGTGGAGTTGGCGCAACAGGGGGGTTGTATGCTCCCTGCGCTCCGCTCCTGTTAAAATCATGGCTGCCGAGCGTTGGACTAGTTGTAGCTTCCGAGCTGTCTTCAAAGGCAACCCCACGTAGAGAGCGTTGC